AACTTTCAGTTCAAGCAGGTCTCTCTGAAACATTCAGTTTTCAGCTACTGCTGTGCTTTGCAGTCTGTAGCCTTCCATAACCAGGCTGTCTCTGATCTCTGTGTCCTGAGGCCAGAGAGCCTCCAAACAGCTCACAGCCACATGGGCTCAAGGCTCCTGTCAGCTGCTATGAGCTGAGCTGTGGTCCTTCCACAGCAAACCTGCCTCTGGGAGGAAAGCCATTACCTGCTTCGCTGATGGTCCAAGTGCTCAGCAAACTGGGTCCCAGCAGCAGATCTTCAGTCTGGCTCTTCAGCCTGGAGCACTCAGCAGTTCTCACGTCTCAGCTGTTTGTCAGGCACTGACGCTATTCTGCTCTCAACCTCTGAAGCATTCTGGTTTCTGCAATCTCTGCTGCTCGCCGTTCACCCTTCCAGTAGCAACACAAGCTGCTGGACTCTCAAAGCCACTGTCCACCATTCACCTTTCTCATGGTATAGTGGTATAGCGTCTTGTCTGGGCTTTCCAAGCTGCTGCCTGCCATTAGCCTTTCTTATAGCTTAGCATGTCCACTTCTCACTATGGCTTCTTCACAGCCAAAAGAATGCAGACCCTCTTGCTGGCTCTGCTTTTGCTGGCTCTTAGCGTCCACTGCTTGGGAAGCTATGATGTTCCATGGGTCTCAGCCATGGAAATCTGGCTGCTACTTTCCGAAGCTGTTTTGTTGTTGTTGTTGTTATTGGTGGCTTTTGGAACTGCTTAGTCTGCTAGGGATGCTACTTTCTGCATCCCAGGTTCCTACTCTACTCTAAATGACTTTATTAAACCTTCACCATACAATCCCTCTATTAAACCTTCACTATATCCTTAGACCTAAAGTCTATTTATACTTTATTTACAATTCTTATTTAGAACTAGCATGGCCACTTACTACATGTCATGGCCATTTTCTTACATTAAACATTTAGTCTCACATTCAACATTTATACGTCTTACAAGCTTATATTCTTAAGGAAATTCCATAAGGCCACATTAGCAAATATACTTCTTACTCTTAACTAGCTTACACTAGAAAGAATCTCTTAGCAAACTCTCTACAGGGCTACCATTAGCAAATATCTAACTTAGCAAACACCTAGAAGATTTCTTAACATTTACATTATCTTCCAAGAAGACAGAGAGTAATTTTCTTTGGAGTTCATTTCAAACCCAAAAAGAGAAGAGAATGAGAAGAAAAACCTTTTTAAGGAATACTCTGTTTCTGAATTGCTTAGCTGGCAACTCAACAGATTTCCAATCATGAGAAGATAATTGTCTAAGTTAGAGTGAGGTTCCAGACCTGCAGCTTTCAGCAGGTTCCCCTGCTAGACTATTTGTCTTGAGAGCTTAACATATTTCTAAGTGACTTCATTGCTCTTATAGGTAACTCTTTGTCATCCAGCTACCATACAAAACACTGCGCAGCTAATAGGCAATATAAGGCATTTTCTCAAAGGATCCTGGATCTATCTGCCGCTGGTTAAAAGTGGTGGCGCACGCCTTTAATCCCAGCACTCAGGAGGCAGAGCCAGGCGAATCTCTGTGAGTTTGAGGCCAGCCTGGTCTACAGAGCAAGATCCACAAGAGGCACCAAAACTTCACAGAGAAACCCTGTCTCGAAAAACCAAAAAATTTTAAAAAAGAATAAAATAAAATAAAAAGATTTTTTAAAAAAGTGACACAACTCCAAGCTCTGTTTCCTTACAGTTTTTCATTGGGGCTGATACTCAACAAACTCTCAATTTTCCTCCTTAATTTTTTAAAAGCTGCATTTTAAGTTTACTAAGAGCATCTTTTAATGTTATCAATGTTTCTATGGAATTATTAAACATAACTCAATCTCAAGATTTTTTTTTTTTAATTATCTCTTGTGAGGCAAGCTGTTTGTTTGCTCTCAACTTTTTGGGAAGTAAATCTAAGCTTTCTACAAATGCTTAGGAAGGAAATTCCATTTCCAGTTGAAAAAACAGTTTTTTCAGGCAATATCGCCATGTTTAGTGGAAAAACTACCTTTCCCAGACTGGATTTCTCTTGTATCAGCACGCTGTTACGAGCTACCTTTTAGACTCCATTTCCCATAATTCTTTTTGGGTCTGGGAGTCGGCTTCCGGTTCCCTTTTACCGGCTTGCTTTCAAACAAGCCTTTTTTGTACACTACGTGAGGATTCTTGAGTCAAAGGATTTCTGTTCTCTGTGAGCTAATCTTAATAGGTGTTTTGCTTTCATCTAATACTGACCCCAGATCAGAATCACACCTGCCTCGTTAGCACATGTTGAGGCAGGCATCCCTGGTTCCAAAATTTCTGAGGGGCTCGTTCATTTGCTTCAGCCAGACAGTGAAAAGGAACAAAAGCACTTAAAGCAAAGCTTTCCTGCAGCTCCTTCAGAGAGACTTTGCCTGATAGATATCTCGTCCTGCTTGTTATTAAGGGAGGATTTTGTTATCCCTAGCCTCACATCAGGACAGGTGTACTTCCCTAATCAGAACTTTCACCTGGCCCAGTCCCCCAGCGGGTTGCGGTAGTTTGGCCATGTGCTCTCAGACAGTAGCTTATTCCCAGAGGCAACAACCCTTCAGGGCTTCACTCCCTCGCCTCACCAGGAGTCAGTGGAGGAAAACCAAAAGTGCTTGAAACAAAGCTTTTCTCAGAAAGGTCCTTTCTCTCACAGAAAAAAAAAAAAAGCTTTCTTGGATAGCTCTCCATCCTGTCCTGGCTCAGATCCTCCCCCCAGACAGAATTTCTGATGCTGCTTCTGCTGCAGCTGCAGACATAGCTCAGCTCCTACCATGCCAGCAGCTTCCTCAAGCTGCCCTGCGCTCTCCTGAGCATCTTTCTAGCTGCAGAAGAATTCTGGCTAGGGTCTGAAGTAACTGACTTCTGTTTTTTCTGTTTTTTCTGCCTCAAAAGAAAGACAGAACTTAAAGAGGTTTTGCCCTGTTTCAAGAAGTTTGTTGTTTTTTCTTAGAGCAAACCACAGGTGAATTCCTGCACTAATATCTCCAAGTGATTCTTTTGTTCTTACAGAAAGAAAATCTGAGAGAGAAAGTTCTGAAAGGCTTTTAAGTTTTTTAGAGAGAGATTAAGTTTTTAAGAAAGCTTTTAATTTGAGAGAAAAAGATTAAGTTTTCCCAAAATTTCTGTTTTCTAAGTTTTTTACTTCATGGTCAAGAGGAAACTAATTCCTTTGGTGCGATGTTGTAAAAGTGCTCTCAGGCATTGCTGGCAGAGCAGAGGATTTTTGTTTCATCCGTTCGCATCTGCCACAGGAAATTTCTTTCCTCTGCTGCTTGGACTTAGCATTTTAGCTGTCCTCAGGCCAAAAGCTTCCATAGGAATCTTTTTTCTGCCTGATAAACTCAAAGAAGAGCTTTTTTTCTGTCCATTAAGCTCAAAGAAGAGGTTTTTTTCTTCCCGTTAAAGTGGACAGATTTTTTCCTTGTTTGTGTTCCTGGCCCCAAAGTTAGAAAAATACTTAGTTCCTCTGTCCAGTTGCATATCTTATTTTCTAAATCTTTCCTACACTACCTTACTCTTCTAAGTTTTACTTCTTACACTATATATTTCTGACTTTCCCTACTTTTCATAGAAATTGAGAGACAGAAAGAGAAATCTTGATAGAGAAGGTTCTCTGCTGCAGCCTCAGACATCCTTCCAGTCTGTTTTTTCCTTTTCTCCCAAGGATAAAACCCCCTGCCCTACTTAGCTTTCACTACAAAACCAGATCGTTCCCTCTTCTTTAACTGGCAGAGCCACACTCCCACTTTCGCTAAGCACTCTGGACATAAATATCTATATTATTTTTTCTTTTTTCTTAGTCTCTGTTTAGTGGTACCATCTGTGGGGGACCATCCCTCACCCCCACATTTCCCCCAGAATACTCTTGAGTAGGAGCAGCAGGAAATGTTAGAAGGATAGAGGGGAGAGAAGCAGATAGAAGATACCGGATAGACTCAGGGGGGCCTGGATTCTAATCCATCGGGCCCGACTGTCTCTGCCCTAGGGTATTTAAAGGAATTCCAAGGGGTGGAGCAAAAGACCTCCCCCCAGCACAGTCAAATACAGACCATCTCAGACACCTGCACTCAGGTCCGTGGTCCAATTATCTTCTCTATGCAGACCTGCTGGGTAAAGACCAAATGTGCTGCAACAAATATGCAATAGAAATGTACTAAATGTACTAAAATTCACATTCTGTCTGTGAAGCAAAAATAAATAAATAAATAAAATAAAAATAAAAATTAATAAAAAAAACTATAGAGTAGGAGTGCAAACTTGTACCACCACTGTGGAAATCAGTATGGCCATTTCTCAGAAAATTGGGAATCGATCTACCTCAAGACCCAGCCATACCACTCTTGGGCATATACCCAAGGAATGCTCAATCATATCACAAAGACACATGCTCAACTATGTTCATAGCAGCATTATTTGTAATAGCCAGAACCTGGAAACAACCTAGATGCCCATCAACAACTGAAGAATGGATTAAGAAAATGTGGTACATATACACAATGGAGTACTGCTCAGCAGAGAAAAACAATGACAGCATGAAATTAGCAGGCAAATGGATGGAACTAGAAAATATCATCCTGAGTGAGGTAACCCAAACCCAGAAGGACAAACATGGTATGGACTCACTCATAAGTGGATACTAGATATAAAACAAAGAACAATCAGACTGCAACCCACAGAACCAGGGAGGCTATATAGCAGGCGGGACCCTAGCATGACTGTGGCTTATAATAAGTTTTGGTTTTACTCAATTACTGATCAAGCCTCAATGAAACATTTCACTATTAGGATAAGAATTTGTACTGTATCAAGCTGATAATAGAATAAATAAATAAATAAATAAATAAATAAATAAATAAATAAATAAATAAAAAAATATAAAAAAACTACAGAGTAAATTCTGTACTCCTTTAGAAGAAGCTGATATTTTCTTGAAGTGTTTATAATGTTTTTTAAATTATTATACAGGATGAAACAAAGAATATAAAAAGGGAAAATGAGTCTACACACATACTCTCTGAAGATATTTATAGCACACAAGACAGTTTGATAGGTGGTAAGTATCCTTTGCTGCAATATAAAAAACAGAAAAACTGTGTGTCCTGTGATAATAACAATAATATCCAGGTACTGAGATGAAATGTGTGTGTGGGTGTGTGTGTGTGTGTGTGTGTGTGTGTGTGTGTGTGTATAAAGTAACATATATATATATATATATATATATATATATATATATATATGTTATTAAAGTAAACCACAGGTAATCCTATGAAATGTTAGGGTTTTCTTTTTCTGAAATAAGAGTACTTTATATTTCCATTTTGCATTAAGAATCTGATTTGCTCAGAGTCATGTATCTTTAATGAGCATGCTGTGATTCAAATCATCTCAAACACTAGAATGCCACACAAGCATTTTAGGAGATGTATGTTGATATAACCAAAATTTCTTATTTTGTCTTAAACTGATACTGGATTAAAAGCTAGTTAAGAGTTAGTCATAAAACACACTAACCATATTTATCAATGAAAGCCCAAGTAATATATAGAAATTTGTTTTAATAATTATAAAGAATAGTAATTTTAAAAGATTTGGCAAACCTTACTCTAGAATTCATTATACACAGGAATAAGAAATGCAAGTGGTGTGAGGATTATAAAAAGGCAGACAAGGGCCCATGAGATGGTTCAGTAGATAAGGGTGCTTGCTGTGCAAGCCTGGTGACCTGGGTTCAATTCCCAGGGTCCACATAAAAGAGAAAGGAGAGTCTGCCCGGGGTCACTTGCTCAGCTATGTTCACATCAGCATTGTTTGTAATAGCCAGAACCTGGAAACAACCTAGATGCCCTTCAACTGAAGAATGGATAAATAAAATGTGGTACATATACACAGGAATACTACTCAGCAGAGAAAAACAATGATATCATGAGGTTTGCAGGCAAATGGATGGATCTAGAAAAAATCATCCTGAGTGAGGTAACCCAAACTCAGAAAGACAAACATGGTATGTACTCACTCATAGGAGGATACTAGATGTAAAACAAAGATGACTAGACTGCTACTCACAACTCCAGGGAGGCTATCTAGAAAACAGGACCCCAAGAAAGACACAGGGATCGCCCAATGACAGAGAAATGGATGAGATCTACATGAACAACCTGGACATGAGTGGGGGTAATGAAGGGCAAGGGTCGAGGGAAAGAGAGCTTGGGGGAGCGGGAGATCCCAGCTGGATCAAGAACAGAGAGGGAGAACAAGGAATAGGAGGCCATGGTAAATGAAGACCACATGAGAATAGGAAGAAGCAAAGTGCTAGAGAGGTCCCCAGAAATCCACAAAGATACCCACACAACAGACTGCTGGCAATGGGTGAGAGAAAGCCCGAACGGACCTACTCTGGTGATGGGATGGCCAAACACCCTAATTGTTGTGCTAGAAACCTCATCCAATGACTGAGGGAACTGGATGCAGAGATCCACGGCCAGGCCCCAGGTGGAGCTCCAAGAGTCTAATTGGCGAGAAAGAGGAGGGTTTGTATGAGCGAGAATTGTTGAGACCAAGATTGGAAAAAGCACAAGGACAAATAGCCAAACGAATGGAAACACATGAACTATGAACCAATAGCTGAGGAGCCCCCAACTGGATCAGGCCCTCTGGATAAGTGAGACAGTTGATTAGCTTGAACTGTTTGGGAGGCACCCAGGCAGTGGGACTGGGACCTGTCCTCAGTGCATGAGCTGGCTGTTTGGAACCTGGGGCTTATACAGGGACACTTGGCTCAGCCTGGGAGGAGGGGACTGGACCTGCCTGGACTAAATCTACAAGGTTGAACTCAATCCCAGGGGAGTCTTTGCCCTGGAGGAGATGGGAATGGGGGGTGGGCTGGGGGGAAGGCAGGGGGGCAGGAGTGGGGAGGACAAGGGAATCCGTGGCTGATATGTAAAATTAAATTAAATTATGAAATAAAAAAATACAACATAAAAAAATTTAAAAAAAAGAGAAAGGAGAGAATTCCACAGAGTTGTCCACTGACCCACACATGTGCTGTGGCATGTATTCCCACACATATATACATATACAATAATAGTAATTTTTAAGTTAAAGATAAGTGATCATTTGTAAATATGATTTTTCTACATAAGAAATTAATAAGCACCTACAAACTCCTAGAACCAATACAAAAGTTTAGAAGAATTTGCCCGGGCGGTGGTGGCACACACCTTTAATCCCAGCACTCGGGAGGCAGAGGCAGGTAGATCTCTGTGAGTTCAAGGCCAGCCTGGTCTACAAAGCAAGTTCCAGGACAGCCAGGACTGTTGCACAGAGAAACCCTGTCTCGAAACAACAAAAAAGAATAGAAAAAGTTGTTTTGTTTGAAATAACACACAATTCTTAAAAGATTCCAATATTTATTTTTAAGTATAACAGTTACAACATATGTTTATGGTAACTCATCATCTTCTTTCTTTTTCTAATAAGATGTCAACCTTGGGAATTACTCAGAGAGTGTACAGAATCAACCAGCTAACACTAGGGTTTCTTCCTCGAGACAATTTGAACCCATTTGCAAATTTCACTGGATAGAAGCATTTAATGATGAGATGACATTTCAAGACCTGGGGGAGGATTTTTCTTACTCGGAGAAGCCAGAGTTGCAAAGCCAGGAATATAATGATACAGCAGATGCCAGCGAGAAGCTAGATGCATATAAGGGAGAAAGTCCAATGGAAGATAGCATTTCTGAAAATAAAGACCAACTTGTTGATGAGCACGTCAGGAGATCTCCTCGAAGTCTTTCTCTGAATTACTACAGAGGAGAGACGCAGCCATGTGTGGAAAAGTCACTGGCTAGAAGCACTGTTGTAGATGTCGCCCTCAACATCAGTCAGCCACAAAGCTTTCTGTGTAAAGAAAATGTCTGCGGAAGTGGTGAAGATGCATTTGATGGTGAGAATTGCTTAGACCTGCTTAACTTCAGAACTAACTATGAAACAGAGGAGGTAAGATTGAACATTGGTGTCATTAAAGCCTGTAGCGTGTTAATGGATGCAGGGGTGCTTTTACTGTTTACAAACACACAATCTGAGACTTTCCAAATATCATTAAATCATCAGGTCAGTTCAAGGGACTGTGCTTCCGTGGAGATTTTAACCAATCAGATACAATTTTTCCTAATAAATTCAGTCCATACTTATAGAGTAGCTCTACCAAATGGTCATTTCTGTAAGGATTATGACTCACTGTCCTACTCTTAATATTTACATGGCGTAGTGTCAACATGGCGTAGTACCAACATGGTGTAGTATTTATTAAATTGTGTGACAAAAAAAGCCAAAGACTTGTCTATTTTGTTGGACTTCTTTGGACAAGCAAATACTTACTTGTCTTAGGTGTCATTGGTTGTGGTCACCTGTGATATCCTAAATGCATTGATGACATCAACAGTAGAAAGTCTGTGTGTTTGATAAACAACCTCAGCAGAAGAGTTTAATCCAACAGTAGTGGAAACAATCACTTTGCAGTTTGAGTTTCATAAGAAAAGGTATTACTCATCTGTCTGTGACTATGAGCAGGTTTTTTGTTTATTGATTTGGAAATTAGACAGCAGTATTTGAAAAAGAACTTCTTAGAATGTTGATTCCTAGAAACCAACATTTCCAAGATCTGTTTAATTCAGGTTTCTCAAAATTGTGTATTCCTTTCCCCATTGCATTTAGATCCCCCCCTGCCCCCAGGAGTTAACAGGTACTCTTGAGAATTTATTGTGTACAAGACAGCTATGTAATGGTTATATAATGTTAAAAACAACCAAATAAGAAAAACACACGGCTCTTCATGAAAATATCATCCTAGTAAAGGAGACAGCTATTAACCAAACAAGCACACAAACCACTGTGCACTTGACTCTTAGAACTGTACAGGATGATGGTTGCCTCTGCTGAGGGTATTTCACCAGACAAGAGAGTGTGGGGAGGCTTCCTTGAAGTAGTCCTTGGGCTGAGCTCTGATGGGTAAATAAAGGTCCATTGAACAACTGTGGATTGGGAAGCATTCCACCAACAAGGGGCAATATATCTATGGACTCCCTGTACCTGCGAGGTCTGTGGTACCTACTAGGACCTCAAGGAAGCCTAAAGTCTAGGAAACGTGGAGCTGCAGGGAGCAGGGGCTATGGAAGAGGAGGATGACAGGGTACTAGGGTATGCTATCAGTAGCAATTAGCAGGATCTTGGGAACCTTGGTTAGATAACTGACTTTATCCCAGGGCAATGAAAAGCCATTAAACATGCAGGGGCTCAGCATCTCTAAGTTGATATAATACTACCCCTACAGATACTTCATACAGGGGTTTTAATTTCATATTTATTTCAGTGTTCTATACCACAACTGTGCAGTCTTTTGTTACATACACACACCCAGCAAAATTGTATTGTGGGTATAAAGTCAATCATGAAGTATGTCTGCCATTCTAATGTTCATAGGAGTCAGCATGGATGAAGTATTAAAGATCTTTGTAGTCTATAGGGTAATTAATACATTTGCTTAATTGATTTTGAAACCAAAGAAAGCACCTTATATGTGACCAAGGTTTACATCATAAAAGATGATGAGAGCCCAAATATAATTTTTCTTTTATCTAAGTAAATATGATACACATGTCTAACTTATGTCTATGCTTGTGCTTTGCCATGCTGTTGGGAGTTATACTCAGCAGTCTACTCTTTCACATTTATTTACTATAATTTACAGCCTGAAGTTTCTTCAAAAGAAATAGAGAATTCTGGGGAGATTTCTGAGATGTCAGTTAGTCACCAGGAGGAAGTCACAGAAGATGGTGTAGACAGCCTAGCCATTACCTCATCTTGGTCTCCAGCAGGCATCTTCAAGAGCAGATCTCAGGACAAGTGCATGACGCCTGATAGGGAGCAAAGCTTTGAAAATTTGGAGCCTCTGGAAGAGGACATGGCTTTAAATGAAGCCTTGCAGAGATTAAAACATACTAACAAAAAACAGGAGAAGCAGATCCAAGACCTCCACGGTAGGAACCTGCACTTAGAAAACAGGCTTAAAGAACTACAGATGAAGGTCACCAAACAGCAAGTGTTGGTTGACATCATAAACAAACTAAAGGAGAACATGGAGGCGTTAATTGATGACAAATACAATGTCCTCCTAGAGAAGAATGATATCAACAAGAAATTTCAGGATCTGCAGGCGGTTTCGGCTACCGCCAAAAAGCACCTTCAGGAATCCAAGAAAGACAAGGAGACCTTGCAGCTCCAGGTTAAAAAGATCAAGGTCCATTACGTCCGTTTACAGGAAAGGTACATGGCCGAGATACAGCAGAGAAACAGATCGGTCAGCCAGTGCCTGGAGATAGAGAAGACCTTAAGCCAGAAAGACGAAGAGCTACAGAGACTGCAGCAGCAGAAAGGCGAGCTGGAGATTGCCACCAGTTCCGCTTTGGGCTTGTTGAAAAGGGAGAAGGAGATCCGGGAACAAGAGTTCTTGGCCTTTCAGGAGGAATTCCAGAGGCGGGAAAAGGAGAACCTGAAAGAAAGACGGAAATTGAAATCGAGAGTTGAGAAGCTGATAGCGGAAGTGAAAAGTTTGCTCTTCACCTGTGAGAGCGAGAGAGCTAAAAGTACAAAGCTCCAGCAGCAGGTCGACGAGCTGAAGCAGGAGAAGGAGGAGCTCCAGCAGCAGGCTGCAAAGGGGGAGGCACAAACTTGCACCCCTAACTTTGAGATAATCCAGTCCAGGGAGCAGCTGGAGGAAGTGATGGAGGCAGGCGGCACCCAGGTACTGATGCACATGCTGAGTGTCTAACGCAATTCCCAAAATTTCAAGTGGTCAGTGTTGGACATTTAGACTTGATACTCAGATATAGCACTTGTTCGTAGGAAGAATTATTATTTTTTAAAATAGAAACAAAGGGAAATGTACCACAGATTTAGAGAAGTTTCTACTGGTTTCTGGGCACTCACCTTAAAGAACAATAATTCTTGGCTTGTGTTGATTTTGGTAGAGGTGACAGTTAACCTGGGAGTTTTATGGGTACCCATGACCACTCCTAAGAATCATCTCTACAGGAATTCCTTGAAAGAGGATTTTCTTTCTTTCTTTCTTCCTTCCTTTCTTTCTTTCTTTCTTTCTTTTTTTTTTTGTTGGGAATTGTAGGGCATGTCTGATTTACTTGGACTACCAGAGGATTTTTGAAATATGGTTTCAAATCTAATTTAGCAATAAACTGAATAAAATTGTTCTTTTTCTTACAAAGTAAAACTATAGCACATATTACTTGTAAAATTATAAAACATAGAAAACAGCATTAAAACCTTTTATCAACACGTTTACAGAAACTGAATTTTTAATGTCATTCTAAAGCTTTGTTTTGTTTTGTTTGAGCAAAATACCTAAAAGCACATGCAGGAAGGGGTAGTTTTCACAAGTCAGGGCACACCTGGTATAATTCTTCCTTAAAGTATATGAATCTCAAAGTAGAACAAAATCTCAAATCTATTTTGGTTGGTTTGTGACAGGGTCTTGGTGTGTAGCCCAGGCTGGCTTGAAACTATGCAGTCAAGGCTGGACTTGACCTCGAGATGCTAATGTCTGCGACTCTGAGTGTTAGATTTTCAGGTATGAGCCACTGCACTGCCTAGGTAAAGTAAAACCTTATCAGTTGGCTGGTTAGGAAGAAAGCTGATCTGGTAGCTGTGGTGGTGTAGGTCAAGGGTCAACTTACTGAAGAAAGCAAGCCAGTTGGAGCTAGGAAACTGGACAAGTCTAGTGTACTTTAAAAATTATTATTTAATTGTTGGTTGATTGGTTGTTAGGTAGACCAAGCTGGACTCCTATTTCCTGTGATTCTCCTGCCTCTGCCTTCCAAGTAGTTACAGGCATGTGCCACCATGCCCAGCTTTGTTTATTTTCATCTTGTAATAACTTGAATGGAGTTGGTATATTGCTGTGAACATGTCATGGAGTCATTCTCATAATAATTATGTGTTATTTGAGAGTAAATCTATTATTTTTTTAGAAAATACTATTATCTTTGTTTAAAAAAAAAACAAAACTAAAGAGCTCTCTAAGAATTGTCTAGATCAGTGATTCTCAATCTTGGACATGAGCAGCATGACAAGGAGGGCTTGTTGACGTATAGACTATATAGAACATGCTGTTCTAGCAGATCCCAGGGGGAATGGATGGTGCTGTTCTAGGGGCCACACCTCAGAGCGGCTGACTTCAGCAGAGACCTCGAGTTTAGTGCCTCCCAAACCACGGTACCTTTCCAGGTGGTTTAACTACAGAGGTTTAACACGACATAGATTTTTTTTCCCCCACTAGTTTTTGTGTTAAGAAGTCAATTTCCCGGTCTTATCTTGACTAAAGAATTTCTTTAACATCTCCAAATTCTCACTATTTTTGTTTTTTCTTTATTCTAGGTCCATTTTCTCAAAATGTGCTCTGAGAGCATCTGTAAAGTCCAAAGCACTTTTATTAAGAAATGACTGATGTGGTGTAGCTACTTCTTTTGTCTTCTGTCTCTGTGTCTTTTCAATGATCCCAGTAGCATCTTTCTGGGGCGGAGCATCCGAGCTGCAGTGATGAGGGCCCAGGAAGTATTTGCTAGTCTCAGTGGAAAACAAGTGGCAGTTATTGGTTATGATGGCCCTAGTCTTTGGATCTGCATCTGCGATTCCTCCCTCCCTCCCTCCCTCCCTCCCTCCCTCCCTTCTTCCTTCTCTCCCTTCTTTTTTTTTTTTTAAAGACAGAGTTTTATTATGTAACCTAGGTTGGCTTTAGACTCATGGTGATCTTCCTGTTTTAGTCTCCTGGTTGCTTGGATCATGGGTGGGTGCCACCATTCCTTGCCCAGCCATACCTTTATAGCAAGACACAAACTGCTTAAGAAATAAGGTTGTTTAGGGGCTAGCAAGATGGCTCCATGGGTGAAAGCACTTGCCATCAAGCTTGAGAACCTGAATTCAGTTACTGAAATTCACATAGTGGAAGCAAAGATCTGACTCCCCAAATTGTTCTGTGACCTCCACACGTGTTGCACACACAAAATGAAATGTAATAAACAATAAAAATATTTTTTTATTCATTTAGCAGATATAAAGAATGTTCTTAAAAGGAAAAATTAGTTTGAAAAGTGGATCAGACTCAGAACTCAAATAGCATACTATATATATTTGTAACTAAGTTAGTAGCAGGGAACAAAGACATTATTATTTCTGGGTATGATGCACATGCTTATAATCTCAGACTTTTGGCGTCTGAAGCAAAGGGATCCCAAATTTGAAGCCAGGCTTGGCAACACTGTCTTAAAACTTTAAAGGATGGGCAGGGGCAGATAAGTGATGGAGAATTTGGCTCTGCATTTGGGAATACTAGTTTTGATGCCCTCCCAAAAGACATTGTTGCTTTTTCCATTGTTATTTCTCAAGTGTGTGGTATTTTAGAAGCTGTGTAACGTGTGGTAATGTAATTGCTCTCCTGGCTGATGGGATGTGTATCAGTCACTATTCTATTGCTGTGAAGAGATGCTGTGACCAAGGCAACTTTCATTAAAGAAAACATTTAATTGGGGCTTGCCTATAGTTTCAGAGGTTTAGTCCATTATCGTCATGGTGAGGAGCGTAGCGGCATGCAGGCGGGCACTGAAGCAGTAGCTGAGAGCTATATCAGATCTGTAGGCAGTGGGAAAGACTCTGGGCCTGGCATGGAAACCTCAAAGCCCACCCCCCAGTGACGCACCTCCTCCAACAAAGTCACACCTACTCCAACTAGGCCTCACCTCCTTATCCTTCTAATCCTTTCAAAAAGGGCCACTCCCTGGTGACATTCAAATATATGGGCCTATGGGGAACATTCTGATTCAAACCACCACAGGGTGTGTGGATCAAAGATGAGAATCCTGCTGCCTTTTCAACTACAGAATTAAAATTAAATGTAAATGAGTCCGAGTCTGTAGCACAGGAGGAGCACCTGCTTAGCACAAGTGAATCCCTGAGTCTGAACCCCAGTACCCCCAAATCTGCAAAACTAGAAAACTGATCCTCCACTAGCATTTTTATTTTTGAGAACATAATTTTAATAAAAGGCCTACTTATGTTGAGATATAATGTATTGTTAGCCCAGTGAATTGGTAAACAAATACTCTAAAACATTCTGTTACAATTTCTAATGTAAAAAAATATGGTCCTCAATTTTTTTTGTTTTTAAAATTGTGCTTTGTTTTTCTCAATAAACTTTAAGAGTGTAAAGGTATCCCAAGGAAAGATGCTTCAGAACCCTGCTCATAGCTTTTAAGTGTAGAGCTTTATCAGTATTTTACCTAAAGGCTAATGTGGGCCCTTTGACTTTGTTGTGACACATCTGAATTGTGTACATATAGGGTACAAAGTGGCTCCATTCTAATTTGTTCGTGGATTGCTCACCTTGTAAAGAGACCCTGGAACTCTCACCTATGACGAGGACTTCCCCACTGGCCTCTAGAATCCACAGTCTTTTGGCCCTGACAATAGGACTTCTCACATGTCAGGTAAAAAATAAACAAAATAAAAAAATAAATCAGCTCTTCCAGTGGGGTTGGGGTGAGCTGCAAGAGGCTGTGAAAGGTCTCAGAATTAAGTTACAGGAAAAGAAAAGACAGACCTCCAACCACCCAACCCTCTCCTGATTGTACTGTTTGTCTTTGGCATCCAGTTCCCACAGTTGTATACAGTCAGGTGTAACGAGAAAATGATGAGGAATAAAGATACTAACTAGATATCTAGAATGTCTTCCTTCCAGAGCAGTTGTCTTATATTTTGGGCCAGTCTGCTCTTACTGATTATTCACATTAATGATTTGTTTGCCTTATTAAAAAATAATTTGGGGCAGGGAGACCTCTGTACATGAGTAGAATGAAAAATGAAGTAACAGTGTTGGAGAGGTGGCTCAGGGGTTAAGAACTGTCCTCCCACAGGACCCAGGTTCGATTCCCAGCATCCACATGAAGGCTCAGAACTGCCTATAATTTCAGTTCCAGGGGCTCTAACTTCTCTTATGGCCTCTGTTGGCACCAGACATACATGCAGGCTGTATAAACACCCATATATCCATAAAATATCAAAAAATACCAATATATCCATTACAGAGAGACAGAGAGAGAGAGAGAGAGAGAGAGAGAGAGAGAGAATTTTTAAATGAAGTATCAATGAGTTCAAATCCTGGCCTCACATGTCTTGGTTATGTGACTTGTCCAAGTAACATGAGCTTTCTCAGCCTGTTTCATTAATAAGGAACCATACTTGCTCTCTGTCCTGGGCAGCAACTACATTCAACAAAAATGATATGAAAGGGTATGTACTTGCTAAATTTTCAAATTAGCTTTTTCTTCTGTTGTATATTTCTTCCATTGTAAATACATTCATCTGAGCTGAAATATGAGTGCATAGCTTGCCATGGTTTTTGTTTTTTATTTTTATTTATTATTGATTTATTTATTAGTGTTCTGAGACAGAGTTTCTCTGCATATCTCTGGCTGTCCTAGAACTCACTCTGTAGACCAGGTTGGCCTCAAACTCAGAGATCTGCCTGCCTTTGCCTCCCAAGTCCTGGGATTAAAGGCGTGTGCTGTCATTTCTTGATTCTTGAAAAGTCAGTGAAATGAATCACTAGGAAGGCATGAACCACCATGCCTTGCTCTCATTGCTGTGTTTTCAATATGATAAAAAAAACCTTTGTATCATCTAGCTAAATGTTAAACATCAGTATTTGTTGAATGCCAGATAGCACGCTAAGCCTTTTGTGTGCAGATTACAGATCTCAAAACTGTGGCCCACAAACACATAACTGTGTTTTTAAAGGTTTGACTTAAATGTGGTGTAGACTCTTCTTGGTTACTAGCTTTTCTATCCCAGCCTCCTGACAGCTGCTTATGTGCAGTAGTTGCTTAGATTTCCCCTGGTTCCCAGCTGCTGTTCTTCAGTCCGTTTGTTGGCTGCTGCTGTACTGGATGTCTTAATAGCAGTGTATCATCAGCCCTCTCAGTGGATCCCACCCCACTCCAAATAAATACTTCCTGTTTGCCTGTTCTGTATCTCCCACCCCACTAGATACACAAACCTTCTGTTTGTTCTGTACCCAGTGCGGAGTCAAGCCCATAATGAGCTTGCAGCAAGTATTTGTTGACTTCCTGACTATCCCTGGAGGCACTTACATTCAAACATTTACTGTCCCTGACATGTTTGAATCAACCTTATATCATTCTTTGTCATATTAGGCTTTTGTTTTTAACTCAGAAAAACAAAACAAGCTTTAGAAGAGTTGAACTCTTGTCCAAAGTTTCACATGTAAGTAACAGAACTCAAGCACAAAGCCTTGCACATTCGACCTCTAGGTTATCTTGGTATAGTTACCTTCATCCTGGCTACTCTTGAACTACCTAGTTGCAATATTGTTGAGAATGTCCAGCTGTTCTAGTGTCAGAGGTAGCAATTTATTTAAGTTTGGGTATGTACACTGGCCAGGCTAAGGAGCAATATACTATGAATGTATAAGCATACATTTATTATAGATGAGGATAAGCAAGTATGCTACCTACTCCTTTTGTTGTTGGTTTTGTTTGTTTGTTTTTTTGTTTTTGTTTTTTTTTTTTTTTTGGTTTTTCGAGACAGGGTTTCTCTGTGTAGCTTTGCGCCTTTCCTGGGACTCACTTGGTAGCCCAGGCTGGCCTCGAACTCACAGAGATCCGCCTGGCTCTGCCTCCCGAGTGCTGGGATTAAAGGCATGCGCCACCACCGCCCGGCCTGTTTGTTTGTTTTTTGAGACAGGTTTTCTCTGTAGCCCTGACTTTTCTGAAACTAGCGCTGTAGACCCCGGCTGGGCTTGAACTCACAGAGATCTGCCTGCCTCTGCCTCCCATGCTGGGATTAAAGGTGTGCACCACCACCACTGGGCACCACCCAACTACCCACTCTTAATGGCAATGAATGGGCATGAGTGAATCCACGTGCAGGCTTTCATATTAACTCTGAGATAATGAAGAACATTTGAAGCATGGATTCAATATGATTTATCTCCTTTGGCCCCTTATATCTGAAAGGAGGTTTTCCTTCTCCATTTTAGCTTCAGAGAAAAAAATTTCAATCTAGTTTCTCAAACCATCATCCTTAGGATACCGTCATTCCTGATGCTGAACATTGTCAAGAAAGTAAGAAAACTAATGACATAATGCTGCAAAAACTGAAGAGCTTTCACCTTAGAAAGAGAGATTTAGAGAAAGAGGTACTGTGTTCTTTATTCTAAAACCTGATTCAGTTTAGTGGGAAGCTAAGACATCACAGAACACTTGCTCCTAAAGTTTCGGATTTGTTTAAGAAGTGCTTGGGGACCAGACTAGCTTATTATGCCTCTTAGAAGTAGACATACTAGCCAAAATTTGACTTACTTACAAATTAAATCTGCATTGGGGAATTTTATTCACAGGGGCTGATGACAGGCTCAGTTGCTAGGGACACGTGCCACCATGCCCAGTGACTTGAATTCGACCACTGGAACCCACATGGTAGAAGAAGAGAACAAACTCTCAGAAGTTTTCCTCTGACTGCTACACATGCACAAACACACACACATACACACGAAATAAATAAGTGTAATAAAAATGAAAGAAATTTTTTTTTCATTTTCTCATGGCATTAATGATTCCTAAAGAGGAGTTCGTCTTGACATTCCTTATAGTGGCTTCAAACTTTGTCACTTAGACACATATAAAACAAAACCCTTTATTTCTTCATTGGGAAAAAGGATCAGGGTAGAAGTACCTAGAGTTTCTCCATTGCCTTTTCCAAAAATTTAAATGTAATTGTACTTACTAATGTGTGTATGTTGGGGGGTGCACATGGGCCATGGTGCATGTGTGGCAGTCAGAAGACAATATTTAGGAGTTGGTTCTCGCCTTCCACCAGAACTCCAGAGATCACATAGGATTCAGTATCCAGCTATACTCCTAGCTATGATGTCTTATACCAAAAGGCTACCAGGTAAAAGCAATCAAGGAAAAGCACAGTGGGACCGAATCAGAAGGAAACAGGTTCCCAGATGTCCTGCAGGAGTGCACAGCACTTCCCCAGCACTAACTAGTGATCACAGGGTGAAGGGTTATGTGCCAAGGGAGTTCAGTAAAACCACTTGCCCATAAAATTTTTTTATTGGGAAAATCATGTACCAAAGTTCCATCCACCAGAAAGCAAGCAAGTGTTCAGTCTAAATAACATGCTGTGAACAACAGAGTTTGGCCCCGTGAGTCATCTGTAGCAAGGGTCGTAGAAACCTCATACAGTTCAGGGCTCTAGGTGACTTGCTAGCTGGTCTCCCTAAGCATAGCAGTCTTGAGTCTGCTGTAGGAACTCATGGTCAGAGAAGTGGTAAAATCATTTATATCATTTAGGCATTAAGGACTGGACTTTGTATGGGTGCATGACTTCATCATAAATGTCCTAGTAGGTTATTTTATTTCTTTTCCTCTAAAATATGAAATACTTTTTTTTCTAGTTATTGAAACATAAAAACAGAATTGCAACTCTTAAAGAATTAATTGCTCATGAGAAAGCACTTCCAGATCACACTACTGAGGTGAGTTTAACATGCTATGCTTTGTCTTCAACATGCTAATACACTGCAGATATTTATGGTCTCTTGGCAAATTCGCATGAAGTCTCGTTCTTAAGTAGCCTTGGCTGTCCAGGAACTCACTCTGTAGACCAGACTGGCCTCAAACTCACAGGGATCTGCCTGCCTCTGCCTCCAAAGTGCTGGGATTAAAGGTGTGTGCCACCACCGCCCAGCAAATTCTATACTTCTATGAATCCAGTCTCATGTCACTCAATCCTTAATCTTTGAGCCTTAAAAAAAGAAAATTATGTGTGAGTGTTTTGCCTGCCTATAGATGCATCAAGTGTATGCAGTGCTTGAGGAGGCCAAAAGAGGGCATCAGTTCCGTGGAACTGGAATTACAGAAGTTTGTGAGGCCATCATGCGGTGTTGGGAACTGAACTTAGGACCTCTGAAAGATCAGCAAATTCTCTTAACTGCTGAGCCATCTCTCCAGCCCCCTTTCTTTGATTCTCAAGTTAAAATGATAGGAGTATGTAATTACTATAATGTGTGCAAACATATTTAATCTCAGGTCACAGATTTTGATTCGGAAGAAGCCAGGAATGCCAGAGATGCACCTGTGTTACTGGCAGTCAAACTGGATAAATACCACAATCTAAATGAGGAGCTTGATTTCTTGGTAAGATAGACCAATGACTTATGGTCCTTTTTACGCCTATTACTATCCACTACATTTTAAGAAGTTATCAACCTCCAAAGTATTGCTCATTAAAATAGTCACACTGGTATTATGGCAATATTACCAACAAAAGTATGGAAGTATTTTCATGTTTTAAAATTGTACATATCAGTCTGGAAAAGTGGCTCAGTGGTTAAGCTGTAATTCCAGAGGACCCAGGTTCAATTCCCAGCACTTACAAGGTAGCTCACAGCTGTCTATAAATCCAGTTCCAAGAGATCTAGTGCCCTCTTCTTACTTCTCCAGGTACGAGGCATGCAAGCAATATACAGACATATGCAAACAAAATATCCATATGCATAAAATAAAAATAAAAAGGAATTTTAAAAATAATTATAAAAATTTAAATATTGTTCAACTTGATTTGTATTTAGACTAATAAGATCTATGTCTTTCAAAATGCAGAAGCCAAAAGATAAACATGCTTTTATTTTCCCTAATTCTAGGCATCAAACCCAAGGCTCACCTCATGCTAGATAAGCATTCAACCACTAGCTTTTTTATCCCTCCTTTTATTATTTTTATTTTTTTAAATGTTATTATTTATTTGTGTGTGTATGTACATCCAGAGGTGAGAAGAGGATGTCAGATCACCTGGAGCTGCCTGATGTGGGTGTGGGGTACCAAACTTGAGTCCTCTGAAAGTGGAGCAAAAGTGCTCTTAAATGCTGAGCCATCTCTCCAGCCCATCATTCACAGCCTTCATCTCACGATATCCCAGCTCAGCTTCTGACGTTCTGAGCTTACAGATACACACCATGCACAGCTCTCCAAAATATGTGCTACTTTCCACTGTGGGTAAAGCACACTTAGCTTTTGTGTATTCTGCTATAGTGGCTGCATTCAATGACTATGGTTGGAAATAACTCTTAGTTTACCTCAGGTGGCACATAAGGAGAATGCAAGAAAACAGGAGGAAATGAAAACATGATTTTGGTGCTTACACAGTTACAGAGCAATTAAAAAACTGGTTTGGTACAGTATAATATTTTTCTTTTTTCCATACTATATTTTAATATACATATACAATACCATGACTTTGTGTTTGGAGTTTTGGCCATTCCCTCCTGATTATTTGTAGAATATGGTGCATGTTCCTGTGAACACTGGATCTTATTACCTGTTATGTTCTTCCCATCCTCTAGATATCACTACTACACACTCACTTTAACTGTTTAAAAGCATTTATCGGGCCGGGCGGTGGTGGCGCACGCCTTTAATCCCAGCACTTGGGAGGCAGAGCCAGGCGGATCTCTGTGAGTTCGAGGCCAGCCTGGGCTACCAAGTGAGTCCCAGGAAAGGCGCAAAGCTACACAGAGAAACCCTGTCTCGAAAAACCAAAAAAAAAAAGGCATTTATCTATCAAGCAGAACATGCAGTGTTTTTAACTTCCTGGGTCTGATTTATTTCATTTTCTATAATATCTTCCTTTTCCATTCATTCAGTTGCATAAATATGTATCACTGTCACATGATAATCAAAGATTCTCTCTCTCTCTCTCTCTCTCTCTCTCTCTCTCTCTCTCTCTCTCTCTCTCTCTCTCTCTTGGTCTTTTGGGACAGGGTTTCTCTGTGTAGCCCTGGTTGTCTTGGAACTCGCTCTGTAGATCAGGCTGCCGTGGAACTCAGAGAAGCCTGCCTCAGCCTCCCTGAGTGCAGGGATTAAAGGCGTGTGCCACCATGCCCTGACAGTCAAAGTTTTTTTTTTTAAAGGTCTATGAAGATAGAAGTCTGAACCATCCTAATTTTGTCACTATAGATTATGTGTGTTATTGGGGTTGGGGATTTAACTCAGTGGTAGAGCCTTGCCTAGCAATCGCAAGGCCCTGGGTTTGGTCCTCGGCTCCGACAAAAAAAAAAAAAAAAAGATTATGTGTATTAGATTATTACATTGTGCTACTGTAGACCGAACTTTCTTGGTCCTGCCTGGTCCCACCTGGGCAGCAGCTGTTTTTATAAAATAATCATTCAGAGGCTTAATATTAATTACAAAATGTTTGGTCTATGGTTCAGGCTTATTGCTAGCTAGATCTAATGTCTTAAATTAACCCATTTATATTAATATATATTTTGCCACATGGCCATGGCAATACCAGTCTGTTGGCATGTTGCTCCTTGGGCGGCAGGTTGGCATCTGCTCTGACTCTGCCCTTCTTCTCTCTGTAGCTCTGCTTGGATTTCCTGCCTGGCTCTTATCCTGATTTACCAAAGGCCAAAATAGCTTTATTTATTAACCAGTGGAAGCAACACATATTCACAGCATGCAGAAAGACCATCCCACAACAATTCCTCTTTTCTGTCTAATCAAAAAGAAAGGTTTTAAATTTTACATAGTAAAATTACATATAACAAAACAGTTATCAAGCGAGAATTACAATTACAATATCTAGTCTATTTGTATTTTGGCAAAATTAAAGAAAATATTCTATCATCTATCCTATTTTTGTGAGTCTAAAGTTTTATATCTAATTTACCTTTTATCATAACTAAGGAAAACTGTAACTATCTAGTCATCAACTCCATCAAAGACCCCAGAAGGATATAATATTACCTAAGTAAACAGGAAGTGCATTGTAAGCAACTTCCAAAATTCTAGAAATGACAGAGACATCTGGCTGCCTGGATAGTCACCCAAAGTTCCTCTGTAATATTGGGGCATCCATCTTCAGCCTACTGGCCTCGAGTCACTGGCATATTTTTCAGTGAAGCAGGAAATTTGAAGGACTATTCTACCTAATGTTAAAGTTTGTCAGTCGCTTTCCTCTGTGTCCTATAGAATGTCTGGCAGTTTCTTCTGTGAAGCAGAAACCTAGAGGACCATCCTGTCTTTTTTTTAGCAAAGTTCAGTGGTCACCTTCCTATGGGTCCTGCATATCCAGTTTATACAACATATTGTCAAGCAGTCCAGGCAAGAGCAGTTTCTTGCCCAAATGGCTAGCCTTTTCAACATTGTAAGCAAACTCCATAATGAGTTTCTTCGATGCCCATCAGCCTCTTTGAAGTAATTGGTATCTCACTGTCCAGAAAAGTCTAAGTTCTTAAAACATTTTTTTGGTTTTTCGAGACAGGGTTTCTCTGTGTAGCTTTGTGCCTTTCCTGGAACTCACTTGGTAGTCCAGGCTGGCCTCGAACTCACAGAGATCTACCTGGCTCTGCCTCCTGAGTGCTGGGCTTAAAGGCGTGCGCCACCACCGCCCGGCTCTTAAAACATTTTAAATGCCATATTTTGTAGGTTTTTGAAGTATCTGAAGATTATAGTTTTCCTTGTTAACAAATTTAGGAAAGAAACTCACCAAAGAGATGTAAAATGTATAAGTTTGAAAGACATCAAAAGATAGTTTCGGGTTGGTAATACAAATTAGGATAGAAAATGAATTAGGTACAACATTTTAGACTCACAAAACAGGATAAATAATGGAGTTATTTTCTCTGAGTCTGTCAAATGTTAATGGACTGGACATTGTTAATGTATTTATTCCCTGTATATATTGTATATAGTTATTATACTTATTGTATATAGCTTTTCTCTTATTAGTTGTAACCTTCTTTTATTATTTTAGACAAAAAAGGGGAAATGTGGTGGTATTTTATTGTACTCTAATAAAGCTTGCCTGAAGATCAGAGGACAGAGCCAGCCACAGAGTTAGCCATAGAGGTCAGGTAGTGGTGGCACACACCTTTAATCTTAGCACTCAGGAGGCAGAAGCAGAGGTCCATCTGGATTTCTGTGAGTTCAAGGCCACACTGGGCTACATGAGATTAATCCAGTCTGGAAGGAAACAGGGCCAGACAGTGGTGGCACACACCTTTAATCCCAGCACTAGAAAGGTTGAGACGGGAAGTGATAATGGCTGGGCAGAGAAAGGAATATAAGGCATGAGGACACGCCTTTAATCACAGCACTCAGGAGGCAGAGCCAGGCGGATCTCTGTGTGTTCGAGACCAGCCTGGTCTACAGAGCGAGATCCGGGACAGGCACCAAAACTACACAGAGAAATCTTGTCTCAAAAAACCAAAATAAGTAAATAAGTAAATAAATAAATAAATAAATAAATAAATAAATAAATAAATAAATAAAGTGTGAGAAGGCTGAAAAACCTCTCCTAGCACTGCTAGTTAGTGGGAAGTTTTCTGTAGTTTTTCTTCTATAATTTCTTTAAAAATTAAAGTAACTTTCAGAGAAAAAAATATTAATAAGCTTTCCTGATGACCCTAAATGCCACTCTCAGAAAAAAGTAATTTTTTTATTTAAAACTTTTATTACATTTGATTGATGTGTGTGTGTGTGTGTGTGTGTGTGTGTGTGTGTGTGTGTGTGTGTGTGTGTGTAAAACCATATTGATACGGGAAGTGCCATGGCACACAGGGAGGTCAGAGGACAACTTGCAGGAGTTGGTTCTCCCTTTCCGCATGTGTCTGGGGACAGCACTCCGATCATCAGCTGCAGGTGCCTTTACCCACTAAAGCCATCTTGCCAACCTGTATAAGTTTTAATTTTCAATAATATTCTTGCAGGAACTGGACAATAGGCTGGACCATGAAGTACATTAAGCTGAAACTTAGAAATGAGCATCATTTGCAAGGGATAGTAAGTCCCAGTCCCAGATAGTAAGTGATTGATGTCCGTAGGGACTAGCAGATGCTTGGGTTATTTACAAAGCCATCTCATAGTAGAAAATAACAGAATCAATGAAAGTCCACCATAATTCTTGCTTGTGTGTTCTGTATGCAATCTAACCCCAGATCCAGCTCATCTGTGTCACGACTCACTTCAGTAGAACTCTATTTCAGAGAATATGGACTGAAATATAGCTGGTTGTTTTCATTTTTATGCCTGTTTCATGGTGGTTTCCAGGTTACATTTTCACTGATGTTTCTCTGTAGATCACAAAGCTGGGGGGCCTTCTAGAGAGCAAAGAAGACCACTACAGCAGACTCATCGAGGAGAATAACAAGTACCGAAGACATGTAGGCAGCTTAGTAAATAAGGTACAAGTTCTCTTACAGGAAAACAAACAAAACCTTCAAAAAATGATGCCAGGCATCAAAACATGATGGAGATGTGGCTCAGTTGGCAGAGTGCCTGTCTAGCATGTACCCTGGATTTGGTCCTCAGCATAGAAAGCAAACCAAACAATGATAGAACTCAACACAAACATCACATCAGAACTAATAGAACTCCAGAGCCAAAAGGATCTGAGGTTTGCCAAGCCACTTTATACTGGTCCCTTTTTTCTCGTAATGCACATTCAATGCCCCCATTAGTGGGATAGCTGGGAAGTGGCCAAGAACCTTGTGGCAGGCACTTTAAAGACTTAATTTTGCTACTTTACCTTCAAGGTAATTAAGTATCTTGCCAACTTAGTATTTAAGTTTCCTTTTTGCTTTCATTTTGGTCTTTTGAGACTGTCTCCATATGTAGCCCAGGCTTACCTCCGAATCTTACATTCTACTGCCTCAGCCTCCCTCCCAAGTGCTAAAATTGTAGGCATGGGCCAACCATGCTTGGTTTCTAGTTTACACACACACACACACACACACACACACACACACACACACACACACACACACAAAGACTGCATTAACTTTAATCAAATGGGCTATAATCCTTAGTTGACCCCTGTATCATTGGTACCATTGTGTGGAAGACTGGTAGATGACAGGGCCCTCACTGGAGCTGTCTAGTTTCTGAGACCCACATTTCCAGCTTGATGAGTGGGCCTACCTCTATTGTTACTCATATTCCTGAGATCAAAATAGAAAAGGATTTTTGTCTGTTGTAAGATTTTCATTTATTGTACTCAAATAATTAAACTTCAACTTGTAAAGATTTTTAAAAAGGAGAAAGTAATCAAAATTAAATACAAATGCTTGTATTTATAAAAAAAAAAAATTCTTACTTTCTCAAGGTAACGTCATATGAAGAAATTATCAAATGTGCTGACCAAAGACTTGAGATATCCCATTCTCAGATTGCACAGTAAGTTAATAAAACTAATTTTTTAAATTTTGTGAATATTTACTGATGTTTTATTTCATTCTCTGGCTTCTAAGATCTTTTTCTCTGACTCTTAGAAATAGAAAAACAAGGATGTGTATTTAGGATGGGCTAAAACCATGTCCCTGGGCGGATTCAGAATAAGCTGCTTTATTACTCATGGGGGATGCTGCTGGTCCAAGAGCGCAGCCTGGCATGTGACCTGGGGCTTGCTTGCCTTGCTGCTGTTTTCAAGCTTTTCTGAGAATTTTGATATACAAACGAACTTCCTAAAACTTCCTAAAAAGGCACCACCAGTTTATATTTAATCGGAAGAAAAAGAATCTCGAGCAACTTGGGACTTCTGGTCTTGGGTTTTGTTTCTTATTTTTTGAAATCTTCATTAACCTCGGGCTTCGAGTAACCTCGCTGTTAGGCCACGAGTGAGGCGCTGTCGCCCCGTGTTCTCACTGACACGCCCCTCACACACACACACCCTAACCCGCCCCACCTTACCTCTACCAGTCACAGGAAGAGCTCTCTCACAAGAAGCCACTGTTGTCCCAGCCCTGGAGAGAGAGCTAGTGATGACCAGGCCGCCCACTCCGAAGGAGACCCAGGAGTTCAAAGACTTTATTCTCTGCAACTGGCTATCCCGTCAGCAGTCAATGGTCACTGTTTCCCCACCAGCCTCAGCTCCATCCTCCTCTTCCAGGTGGAGTACCACCCTGCCAGTGCCCCATGCCTGCGGGATCCGAAGTTGTTCCTCCTGCAGACAGGGGCTTGTCAGCACCACCCCCACCAGCCCTCCTCCTGGTGGCCAGACAGCCACCACTCAGCAGCTCCTGGGCGGTTGATGGGCAACTTGGTGCTGAGTAGCTGAGAGCCCTGATAGCGAGCGTGGTGGTCAGTGGGTCATCAGTTTTGCCAAAGGCCACGCTGTGCCCCAGAATTAAGCATAATAGTGTCCTCTTGCATGGTTGGTGGGACCCGATGGGACCAGTTTGAAGCTGGACCACAGCTCAGCAAGGGGAAGCGGCGCACAAGACTTCCCCTTGCAGCTATGGCCTCATAGCGGGAATAATTCCATAGGGTGGAGAGGAACTGCTGGCTGCTTACCCCAGGGTGCCATCCCACAGCTACCCCTGCCAGAGCATCACCTGCTCGGGAGCTTCCCCACCATGAGCTCCGGTTCATGACACTGCCAGAGGCCCCCTAACCAGAGTGGGGAGTGGGAAAGAACAGCACCCTAGGCATCTCAAGACATGCTTGCAAACCCACACAGGTGAGAAACCTTACCGCTGTGATGGGGACAGCTGTGGGTAAACATGTCAGCTCCAACGAACTGCCCTTGGCACTACTGCAGTACACGGGGCATGGACCTTCCAGTGGCAGAAGTGTGACCCAGCCTTCTCCAGGTAGGGCTGCCTCACCTTACACTTCAAGAATCATCTGCAGCCCAGAGCGGTGGCGCATTTTTAATCCCAGCGCTTGGGAGGCAGGCGGATCTTTGAGTTCAAGGCCAACCTGGTCTGCAGATAGAGTTTCAGTACATCCAGAGCAACCCGAGAATCCCTGTCTAAAAAAAAAAAAGAAGAAGCAAACAATTATTTTTGCAATTCTAAACAACAAAACTTCCCAGAAACAACCCAGAGTGTGCCCTGTACTCAGGCCTTTCACACCTTTCCCAAGAAGGGAGGGGCCTAGCCCATGAGCCCTGTAGTCAAGGCTTAGCATGGTTGATTGTGAATGGAGAAGCTGAAGACAAGAATCCAGAAAACAAAAGATCAACAGATAGGGTCCTAGAGCCAATCGTCTCATTCCCATTCCAAATCCAACTTGAACATCTGGAGTTATAAAATGACAGGGTGGCTGAAAGTTTGGGATGTTGGGGTTTATATCAGGTCTGAGTTAGGGAGAGGGAATACAAGAATCCCTTAAATTGTTTCTATGATACAGTGTAAATACAGAGCTCATTCTGCGTTCTCATTACTTTCCAAAAATGATTATTAATGTTAGGAGAGGAAGAAATTCAGGGATAGAAAATGTTCTAGGGCCGGAGAGATGACTCCAAGGCTAAAAGCACTGGCTGCTCTTTCAAAAATCCTGAGTTCAATTCCCAGCACCCACATGGCAGCTCACAACTGTGTGTAATTCCAGTTCCAGGGGATTTGACACCCACACACAGACATAGATTCAGGCAGAACAGCAGTGTACAATGTACGCAAAATAAAAATAAATAAATCATTGAAAAGGAAAAAGAAAATGTTCTAACAACTAAGTGATGTTACTAAAAGGCAGTCGTCATTCTAAGGGAACAAAATGAGGATGACCTAAGCCAGGTAAACACATCTGCTTTACGTCCTTAACATTTGTTTGGGTTTTCGTTTTCTCGAGATTGTTTAGTTTGTGCTCATGTATGTGCACAGTCTTGCCTGTGCCTGTGTGTGTGGAAGTCAATTATCTCCTTCCATGGTGGGTTCTGGGGATCCAGCTCAGGTTGAGGCTTGTGTGGTAAGAACTTCTGTCCACTGAGCCATCTCACTGACGTTCTTCCCACCATCTCTTCTTTGATGCTTCCTGAGCTCTGCCAGCTTAGTTTTGACTTTCTCTTGTATAATATTAGAGGGACCAGCCTTAATATTATACATCTCAGGGGCTCAGGAGAGAGAACTATGAACCATGAGGACTATTTTCGGGAAATAGAATCTCAGCACACCGAGCTCTTTAGTCCATTCACTTTAATTCCTCTGGGATAACATCCTATTTACACAGCTTCAGTTCTGTTCTTGTGCCTAGCTCCTTTCCTGCCTTATTTCTCTATCTACTGCTCTAAGTTCTATCTTAATTCTCTCGTCTTAATTCTGCCTCATCTAGGTCCTTTTCATCTCTTTCTTACCCAGTTAGTACTTCCCCATCTGACTCTTCCTCATCTTTCATCTCATCCACATGTTCTTTCTGGTCAAAATCCTCCTTATCCCTCTCCGTTCTCTGTCTCTAAGTTCTCCATGTTCCTCCTAAATCTCCCAGCAATCCAGTTATAAACCCAAGCAATAGCAATCCCCTGGTCGAGCGGGGTCATAAAGGCAGGTAAGAATTTTCCTCAGGCAGTGACCACCAGGCTTTCTTTTACATTCCAAAATGGGAGTGGTAAAAGAGGAGGTCAACTGAGTGCTAGTGACCGGTTAGTATATCAAAAAGGGGATCTATGTGCTCTGTCTACATTCTGAGAAGTGGTTAGGTAAGAAGTTAGAGATCTACTAGTAAGGTTGTATAAAAAGGGAGGGTCTCACCCTAAATTGCACAAGAAATAAAGCTATCTGCCTGACCTAGGAGACAGGTGTAGTTTCGTTTGGCCTTGGATGCTTGATAGGCATTTTAGATAAATACACTGTTAGGAGTTCTTGGAAGCACACAAGAAAATCATTTTAGGAACCAGCTAATAAATATATATTATCACCACGACTTCTTAAGCCATGACTTGATCTTTGGAAAAGTCCTTGACTTTTTCAAGTAGTAGCTTTTGTAATAGTAGCTGAATTCCGTTGCGTTTTCCTGTGGCTTGCAGCAACTTTCATTTACTTGGCACATTGACTTCCATCTTTCACTTCCAGTCTGTAACTGTTTGCCAGTGAGATGCCTTTCCTAGAGACAAAAGAAATTTGGATCTTACTTTTTAGTCCAATCAGCTAGTTAGTGTCTTTTTGTTGTTGTTGTTTTGGTTTGGTTTTAGTTTTTTTGCTTTGTTTTGTTTTTGTTTTTGTTTTTGTTTTTTTGTTTTTCAAAACAGAATCTCTCTCTGCAATCCTGGAACTTGCTCTGTAGACCGGGCTGGCCTCGAACTCACAGAGATCCACCTGCCTCTGCCTTCTGAGTGCTGAGATTAGAGTGCACCACCACCACCCAGGTTAGTCAGTGTTTTTTTTTTTTTTTAATTGGTTAATTGGACAGTTAAAACCACTTACACTTAGGGTTAGTATTGAGAGCGCTGTGCTGATTCCTGTAATTTGATTGGTTGTTTTCCTGGTTAATTGGATTATTACTTGTTCTGTTCTCTCTCTTCTATTCATGTTGGGGGTTTGTGGGTTTATTGTATGCACTTTGTATTCTTTCTTAGTTCTCCCTTGTTCATCTGTTCCTCAAGAAGGGTATTCTTCCCTGTGCTCCTTGGTCCACACTCTTCCTCCTCTATATTCAGGGCTCACATAAGTATCCTTTGCAGTGTTGGCTTGGCAGCCCTGATGATTTAGTTTGTTTGTCTTGAAATAATCAAATTTCTCTACCGTTCTGAAAGACAATTTTGTGGGACACAACAATCTTATTTGGAAGTTATTTGCTTTTAGGACTTGAAATATATCATTCCATTCTTTACTGGATTTTAGGGTTTCCTCTGAGAGGTTTGATGTGCTGTGTGAGCTTTTGTCTAATTCCATTCTTTCCTGGTTTGAGAGGTTTAATGTGCTGTGTTTGCCTTTGTAGATGAGCTGGCTTTTTTTTTTCCTTGTAGCTTTTAGTACTGTTTGTTTTGAACTTTTTTAGTGTCTTGACTATATGTCCTAAAGAATATATTTGAGATTCTAAATGTCTCTTTTGCTTGGATCTCTGTCTCTGTCTCTTTCTGTCTCTCTCTGTCTCTCTCTGTCTCTCTCTGTCTCTCTCTCTCTCTCTCTCTCTCTCTCTCTCTCTCTCTCTCTCTCTCTCTCTAAATGCATAAAAACAGGAAAATCTCTATCTAACAGGCCAACAGAATGCTGTGACCATGCAGGACACTACCACACATTTTCCTGTGGTAAAGCAGCTCCAGATAAGGAGCTCTGTTAACACACTCCAGGGCTACATTACACTGACCCACTGTGCAAACAAACAAATCTAAATGACATGCATAGATTTGTCATTATCTATTCTTATCTTTAGCCCTGGAACCTATAAAGGGAAAAATTGACCAAGTGTTCTGAATTGCCAAAAAAAGACCCAAATTCCTGTATTTTGAGATGAACAGATGGTGTATGATTAGCTTTGGATTTAATGTTAGTTATGAGAAAATCTGATCATAAAATAATTTATTATTATTATTAAGAAATTTTTATTATTAAGAAAATTTCTATTCATTTTACACACTAGCCACAGATTCCCCTCTCCTCCCTCCTCCTGCCCCCCATCATAAAATATTTAATAGGGTAGCTTTATTATAGATAACAATCTTAGCTCATAATCCTTACAATATCGACTCACAGTCTCTGGTGGTTTAAATGAGAATGGTCCTGTAGTCTCATATGTTTGAATGCTTGGTCCTCAGTTAGTGGAACTGTTGGGGGTGGGCTTGGAGGTTTCAAAAGCCCACACCAGGTCCAGTGTCTGTCTCCCTCTGCTGCCTGTGGATCAGGTTGTAAAGCTCTCAGCTACTGCTCCAGTGCCATGCCTGCCTGCTTCCTGCCATGATGATAATAGACCAATCCTCTATAACTATAAGCAAGCCCCCAATTAAATGCTTACATTTATAAGAGTTACCATGGTCATGGTGTGTCTTCACAGCAATAGGACAGTGACTAAGACAGCCTCCAGAGAATTTACAAAATATTCATCTTGAAAAGTCCATTTTTGTGTAAAAATGCAATTGTTTCTTCCCTCAGTTTGGAAGAGAGAAATAGACATTTGGAAGATTTTATTAGAATGCCCAAAGAGAAAGCCAGAAGGTCAAGGTAAGTTTCCCTTCCTTTTTAAAAAAATAATGTCTTTAAAATACATATAGTAAATTATACATTTAAAAATTTTTCTCTCCTTATATTTTATTTAAGATTAAAAGATAAATATGAAGTATTTCATATTTTTCTAGTATAAAATAGTTGCTTGATCAAAGTTTTCTTGTAGGCCATGCCCAGTGGCACATATCTAAAACCCCCAGCTATTCTGGAAGCTAGCCTGCAAAGTTTAGCAAGATACTATGTTAAACACAGGTTTTGTTTGTTATATTATTTTGAGATGGTCTTATATCTGGTTGATTGTTTTTTGAGCTATTTTTTGCTATGCAGCACAGATTACAATAAAAAATCCTTCCACCAAGTGCTCCCAAGTTTTGAGATTTCAGGCATGTTCCACCTACCAAGTTACAATAAAGTTTGTGTAGAACCTGAATTAGAAGGCCAGGCTGCCTGCCCTCACAGAAGCTCTAAGCAAGAGAATGCTGGGGGTATGAGCTGAGGTGTTTATCGCCTTCTACATGTTTATAAACTGACTCCCTTCACTAACATGAACTCTTAATCTGTAATTTTAGAAGTTCTCAGTCATGTAGCCCCACGCAGCAGGATATGTACATGATCTTTTAGGTCAACTGTAAGTACGCAGCTGGGTCCTAGCTTCAGCAGTACATACACCAAAACTGGAGATTTAGAAAAAAAAAAAGTTATTTTATATGATCACTCTGCAAACACTAGTTTAATTCTGCTCAGGAATTTTGATTTCCAAAACAGCATGGATTTTTCTCTGAGTTGTAGAAACATACTATGGTATTTTTTCTAGAATTATTTGAAAATATTTTCCATATAATTTTATACATTTACCCATTGAGACATTTGTTTACTTATCACATAGCTAATTTTTACATTGAATGAGAGGCATATTTATATGGATTTATTGACTTTGAAATCAGGGAAAGAGGTCACAAGGCACTCCCCAGCTGCTAAGTCCTGTGTGAAAACTCCAGAGCCCTGCAGGCTTCAGCCATGATGAACTCTGAAGTCTTGATTGACCTCTGACCTCAGTGCACCCTTCAGTGCAGCTTGAGACTTCCTCTGCATCTTCTCAAAATCACGGTGCTGATTTTGATCAGTTGTCATGGCATTGGAAACAGTGGAACTTTGGGGTTAAAAAAACAGTCCCAGATGTCTAACTTTTTAAAATACATTTTTATTTTATGTATGTCTATGTGTGTGTGTGGATATGTACACATGAGTGCAGGTGACCACGGAGGCTTTGCACCCCCTGGAGCTTGAGTTAGGAGCTGTTGTGAGCCACCTAACAGGAGTGCTGGGAACCAAACTCTGTCCCTGCAAGTGCTCTCAGGCGCTGAGCCATCCCCAACCTCCATCCCTACCCCCACCCCCAATGTTTATTTTTGGCTCCTAGTTCTTCACTTGCAAGGAGATTTTGTAGGTTTTCATTTCAAAGCTAAATCTTGATGTAAGTACATTAGGACCCTATTAAATATAATGAGACTGTGGCCCAGTTTATTCACATGCATCAAGGATAGTCCACACTAAGCATGGTCCACACTGAGGATGAGCCACACTGAAGATGGGCCACATTGAAGATGGTCCACACATTATGTGTTGAAAGTTTTGTCTTTTTAGGGTCTCATAGTTTGATCCTAAAGGACAACTTCTTGAAAGTGATAGGCAAATATGCCAAAATAATGGTATTTTTTTAAACCATATTCACTATTTTAGTCTTCTCTCCCCATTTTTACATCATATTCTTTCTTTCTTACAGACCAAGATTAGAAAATCATCCAAAGTCCATGACCTTAATAGGTCATCTTGATGGACACTGTAAAGAATGTTCTATTTCCGTGTGAACTGACTGTAATACATGATTAAATACTCAATTCCTGAAGTTAATTTATTTGTATTGTGTGCACATGTGTGTGCATGTACACGTGTATGTACCCCCACACGCACTTGAGTATCTAAGGTGGAGGACAAGCTTGGGTGTCCCTTCCCAGGAGTCATGCATGTTGTTTTAGGACACAGGGTCTGTCGTTGGTCTAGAATTTACCAAATAGGGTAGGCTGGTTGGCCAGCAAGCCCCAGGAATCCTCCTGTCTCCATCTCCACAGTGCCGAGACTACAAGCGTGCAGCACTGTGCCCGGCTTTTTTAAAATGTGGGTGCCAGGAGTGTGAATCAGGTCCCCGCACTTGCACACCAAACATGTGACTCTTTGACGTTCTATCCTGCTTGGTTTCCTGCCTCCAGGTTTGCCCTCACCCCATTCCATCCCTTCATCAAATCCCCAACGATAGCTGTTGATCTCCATGCTCTGTTGGTGGACATCATTTCCTCTCACAAAGTCAGTCAGTCAGGTGCAAGCGCGAGTTTGTGGGGAGTGCGTGACTGGTTCTGAAAGACACGCTGACTGAGTCAAGCTGTCACCACGTCTGTCTTTGCTGGAGAACTCTATAAGGCAGGGCCTATCTGAACTTGGAAACAGAAAATGTGGTGTTTGCTGAGCCTTGGAACAGTTGGACAAGGTGGTTCACCAGAACCTCTCCTAGGGGTTCAGACAACTGCTGTCTTTGGGGAGGCGGGTCACATGACATGGCTGGGTGGATGGCAGGCTTAAGAGCTTGGAGGGCTCTGGACAGGTGAGGTGCAGGGGGAAGAGGAGACCCACCCGGACAGCACTGGGTCAGTTGAGATTGACATGCTCAGCAATTCAACTAACTCACTTTAAAGAACCAAAAGGGAACAATGATAAAAATCAGAATATTTTTTCAATCGTATAAAAACATGGAACATAACTTGTGACCAGTTAAGAGAGCTGCAGCCATAGCGGTGTCTCCGTTCAGTAAGGTGAGCATGAGAGCTGTGAAGCCACCCAAGCATAAGAAGAGCCCTTCCTCATAATCCAAGGATCCTCTAGGAAAATCGAATGTGCTGGGGGAAGGGAACTATTACAAAGACAGCTATGTCTGGAGGCTTCACACTGAAGGGATGAAACAAGTGAAGGAAAGCCAGCCCAGACTGTCCAAAAGCAGGACTCTGCAGAACCCTGACTTAAGTTATGCACTAGGAGGATTTCCTACAGGAGGATACCTACAGGGTATCTCAAAATAAATACACCTCCCTTGGCACGTGGCTTCAGGAAACACTAAGTGGGCACTTCTCCCTTGGAGCCCTTTCCACGCTCAGGGGTTCTTCCTCACTTCTTCACAAATCTATGGTTGCTCTGCTTTTTTAAAAAGGGGGAGTGGGAAGCTAGGCATGACGGTGCATGCCTTTAATCCTAGCACTCAGGAAGCAGAGGCAGAGTTTGAGGCCAGCCTGCTCTACATAGCAAGTTCCAGAGATGCTGAGGATGCAAAGAAAAACAGGTAAAGATCACAAGGACACTTAGATGAGGAACTGTTCACGACCCCTGCACAGAGGGATGGTCCCGTGCTAGAGGAGCTTGTGGGAAGTAGCCCTGGCCTGTAGAGAGGCCCGGGAAAGACATCACAGAAATCCTGGTACCTGAGCAGGATCCTCAACCCTGTCTGGGTAGTCTCAGGTTGAAAGAAGAAAGCCAAACATGTGGAATACATGCAGGTCTGAGATGACTGACTATCCTGGACCCACAAGTCAGGTTTGAAACCCAAGCTCTTCCAGTGACGAGAGATGAGGGTGATCATGAAGAACAAGAAATGCCAATCTAGAAAACTTAAACTTGGTCCCAAGAGCCCTTGGAGGGACTTGAAGTGGGGAAGCGATGTGGAACATGCTCTTTTGAAAGACCCCCTTACTAATGACACATAGAGGAGGCAGATGGAGGTGACAGCAGAATCCAGCTACGTTTTCAGGCAAGAGAAACTGTGCCCAAGAACTAAAACCGTGACTGTGGACATAAAGAACATGGTAGTTTGAATGTGATTGGCCCCCATAATCTTATAGGGAATGTGGCACTATTAGCAGGTATGGCTTTGTTAGAATGGGTATGGCCTGGTTAGAGGAAGTGTGTCACTGTGGGGGTGGGCTTTGATGTTCCTATGCTCAGGATACTGCCCAGTGTCTCAGTCAACTTCCTGTCGCCTGTAAGATGTAGGACTCTCAGCTACTCCTCCAGCACTACATCTGCCTGCATGCCACCATGCTCCCCGTCTTGATGATCACAGACTAAACCTCTGAAACTGTAAGCTGCCACGTCAATTAAATGTTTTTCCTTTATAAGAGTTGCTGTGGTCATGGTGTCTCTTCCCAGCAGTAAAAACCCTAAGTAAGACAAAGGGAGATGTGAAGCTGCAAGAGATCTCCCAAGTAAAGTGAAAGGGATGTGGTAACCAGTTAGCGGTAGACATGGAGAGAAGGATTCCAGGTGCTGGGGAGAGTTCTGTGTGGATGGTAGTTGCCTTAACAGGAAAGAGGGTCAAGGCCAAGTGTGATGGTGCAGGCCTATAATTCCAGTACTCTGATGGTTGAGGCAGGAGGACTGCTGCAGTAGTAGATTCTTGTTGGGATCGCTAGCTCACAAATAACAACATGGAGACTTATTATTAATTATCAAAGCTTGGCCTTAGCTTATGCTTGTTTCTAACTAGTTCTTATAACTTACATTAACCAATAATTTTTAATCTACATTCTCTCACGAGGCTTGTCACCTCATCTCTGTACTGCCCATCCTGTTTCCTCCATGTCTGACTGGTGACTCTACCTTTCTTCTTCCCCAAGTTCTTTCTCTGCCTGGAAGTCCTGACTGTACTCTCCTGCCTAGCTATTGGCCGTTCGGCTTTTTATTACACCAATCACAGCAATGCATCTTCACACAGTGTACAAATATCCCACAACACACTGCCATGAGTTTGAGGCTAGCCTGGGCTACATAGTGAGTTTGAGGCCAGCCTGGGACACACAGTAAAATCCTGTCTCAAAAGAAAACAGGTAAGAGGGACAGCAGGTTTTCAGAGAGGCATGCAGAGCTTGAGAGGAAGTTGAAGAAACAGCACAGCATGCTTTACTGGGCCTGAAGGAAAGAGCAAGGGAAACTGATGGAACAAGGCCTTGGAGAAGAGTGACCAGCTTCCATAGCACAGCCTAGGGACGGACAGGCTGGAAGACGGGAAATCCAGGCAGTGAACTAAACAGGAGTAAGAGACTGAAGGTTTGCCTCTCACCTTGGGGCTAAGAGGCTCAGGGACAAGGCAAAGGTTGGCTGTGGCCCCTGCTTCTACCTTCAAGGCGCCAAGCTTGGCTGCATCTCAGGAGTCCCTCCCACACCCATTCCTGTGCACTCACTATGCACTCCCCTGGCTTAGTCTCTTTTCCCCTTGATTTGGACACTTTATGTCTCCTCCATGTCGTACTCCACCACTTTCACCATCTCACACTTAGAAATTATAATTATTGAATTCTTACCCTATCTTTAAAAAATTCTTACATGATTTCTCTCCTCTAACACTCCATTGACCTTCTGAGAGGCTGTTACAGCCACAAAGCACTTTGATGTAGTCTTAAGTAGGCTATCTAAACTCAGGGTGTTTATGGTAAATATTTTCCCATAATGTCTACTAGTCTTCATAACTCATTCTGAAGACTATATAATATTCCATAGAATACATATATGTATATCTATTTACTGAATTCTATTTTGTGCACAGATTTTTCAAGTCTTTACTCCATAGTCCAACATCTACCACCTTCAATGCTCTGGCTCCAAGTGATGGATACTTTTGTCCACATGATTTTCTTTTTCTAAAATGTTATTTCTTTCAGACATTCTTCTTTTACCCCTATCACCCAGTTAGTTCCTCATACTCAAAACATGCATCTTTCAAGGTTTAGTTTAAATATCTGAACATAAACCTCTTCCTTTTTGTTTTTCAAGTCTTACTATGTAGTCCATGCTATCCTTGAATTGCCAATCTTCCTGCCTCTGCCTCTCATGTACTACGATTACAGGCATGTACCATCACACCCAGTTTATCTGACTTTAATGGCACTTAGCGCAGTCTTTGTTAAACTATAGAACAAGAGACAATAGAAATGACAAAAAGAGTCCTCAACACAAATCGTAAGGCTTGGGTTCAAGTCTTGGAATCTTGATGTTTTAGCGTTTCAGATCATATGACATGATGTGTCTTAGCATTTCGAGGGCCTGCTGAGTGGCAAATTAAATTTGGATTTAGTCCCCAAAGGGAATAACAAACAGAATGATGGGGAGACTTGGAAGGGGTACGGAGAGAAAAAATTCAGATTTAATAGTGACCACTACTCCTTTGTTAAGCATGTGCTCTATCACTGAGCTACATACGCAGCCCTCAGACATGTTATTTATTTACTTACTTACTTGGTGCTGGGGATTGAACCTAGGGTCTCATGCGTGCCCTGTGAGAGTTCTACCACTGAATAGTTATCTGAGACAGGGTCTCCCTATAGCTGCCCAGGCAGTCCTTGGATTTGCGATCCTCCTGCCTCAGTCTTTTGAGCATCTGTGATTACAAGGCTGTGCCACCAGGTCCTGCCAGATGTGCTCTTAGTTTATTATCTCAGCTGGCTCGGCTAAGTGGCAGCGGTCCCAGAAGCATGCTTTTATTTCCATTTACGCTGCATGCTGGGAACTGGTGTGATGGTCCTTTCAATAACCAAGCAAGCATGTCTGTTCATTCCATGCGCACTTTCAGAGGCCATGTGTTGATCATCTGGCTCACACATACCTTCTCACTCCAAAAGGACCACGCTGGCACTTTGAATCCTGGCTATGTCAGTTCAGACCTGCAGTCATCAATTCTCAGGAAGTTTGGGAGTCCCTTTCTCCAAAGCATGATGGCTATGTGTGGTGGTGTGAAGAAGAATGGACCCTGTAGGCTGATATATTTGAATACTCAGTCACCAGAGAATGGAACTCTTTGACAGGATTAGAGGATTATGAGGTGCAGCCTTGTTGGAGGAAGTGTGCCACTGGTAGTGAGCTTTGACGTTACCCAAGTGCGTGTCAGGGCTCCGTCCTGCCCCACCCCGCAGCTTGCAGATCAGAATGTAGCTCTTAGCTACTTCACCACCACCTGCCTACCACCATGCTCCGCCATGATGGTGATGGACGAAGCCCCTGCGACAGGCCCCAAGTTAAGAGCAAGCCCCCAATTAAATGCCAGAGGGTCACATTGGTCTTGGTGTCTCCTCACTGTCCTTTTATAGCGATAGAACAGTGACTAAGATACTGTGTAAATGGCCATGAGCCTCTGAGGGACAATGGATGTGAGGTGGGTATCTGAACAGTGGTTGTTGTGGTGTCTCACGGGTGTCACATGAGCCTGGCTTCTGCTTTAGTTACTAGGTTCTGGCCTTGGGAATTGGCTCGGGCCCAGCTGGGGTGGGCCGTCTGTTTTAGTCTGACTCTGCTGCTGCAACAAAATATCTGAAGCTGTGTGATTTGTAAAGAACATAAATTTATTCCTCATATCTGGAGTTTCGAGTACAAGACGCCGTCACTGATGGATTTGGTGCCTGGTGAGGGCCCAGGCACTGCCTACAAGATGGCATGTGGTTCCTGTGCCCTCTGGAGAGGTTGAATGCTGTATTCTCACCCTGCACAAAAGACAGAAGGGGAAAGGAGCCTAGCTAGCCCCCACCCCACTACTACCACCACCAACCCCACCCCCCCAGCTCCCCACCCTGCTGCCACCACCATCCTCCAGTAAGGACCCATATTTATGATTGTTATATCCATATAAGTTAATCGCCCCCTAAAGGCCCCAGCACTGCAGAAACTGGGTAATACCTGTAATGCCAGAATTCAGGAGGCAGATGTAGAGAGCCGTGCACGGCCATGCCTCAAAGATGGCGCAGGTCTGGCTTTGCCTTCCCGATGGCAGATGCTCCTTATTTGGCTAAGGCTAGGATCTGGCTTGCTTCCATGCACCTGGACCTAATCTGGCTTGCTTGCCTATGTCTGACCCTATCGGCATTATCCACGTGGCACTACGGGGTTGGTTGCCCAGTGGCTATAAAGGGCGTAGGCTGGCTTTTGAGTGCGCGTGAGTGAGTGTGAGAGAGAGTGAGAGTGAGAGTGAGAGTGAGAGTGAGAGTGAGAGTGAGAGTGAGAGTGAGAGTGAGAGTGAGAGTGAGAGAGAAGAAGACGGCTTTCCCCGGGGTCAGAAGATTGTTCAAGGTTCCTGAATAAACTGCTTGGAGAAGAGCTTGGCGTCCGTCTTCCTTGCTGGTCGAGGCGGACGCGACAGGCAGAGGAAAGATGACCAGAAATTGAAGATCATCTTCAGCTTCAAGTAAGTTGGAGGCCAATGTGAGCTATAGGAGATCCTGTCTCAAAACAGCCGGGCGGTGGTGGCGCACGCCTTTAATCCCAGCACTCGGGAGGCAGAGCCAGGCGGATCTCTGTGAGTTCGAGGCCAGCCTAGGCTACCAAGTGAGTCCCAGGAAAGGCGCAAAGCTACACAGAGAAACCCTGTCTCGAAAAACCAAAAAAAAAAAAACAAAAAAAAAAAAACAAAAACAAACAACCCTGAAAAGAAGAGGGGATGGCACTGGAAAGATCAGCGTTGAAGAGTGCTCACTGCTTCCGGCGGACCTGCGTTCAGTTCCCAGCATCACAACCACCTTTAATTATAGCTACAGGGAACCCTGTTACGTATTTGTCAGCGTTATATACCAGGCACAAGAAAACACGAGGTACAACGGAACTCACTGTAAAAGTTCTTATTCTCTGTGAGTTCGAGGCCAGCCTGGGCTACCAAGTGAGTTCCAGGAAAAGGCGCAAAGCTACACAGAGAAACCCTGTCTCGAAAAACCAAAAAAAAAAAAAAAAAAAAAAAAGTTCTTATTAGGGAAGCGGAAGAGAGGAGGTGGGTAGGCCTACCGAAAAGAAATGTGTGTGTTGAGGGGGAGAGGTGCATGCTACCTCTGGCAAGAGGGAGAGAACAGGGTATAAGTAGAGCCTGCTTTTATATGTCACCCCGCGCATGCGTATATGGCATGCGTATATGGGCTTACGTAGCTAGTAGCTACATAGCTACACTACGCATTCACACAGATTATGTGTGCAGATTACAGGGCCATGCTGCTGTGCATGGATTATGTGGGACGTAAGGCCCAGGAGTGACTAAGCATTTTGCCTGACTACTGACAGCGCATTCACAGTCATGTGACTCCAGAAGTGGCTAGGAATAATAACAAACCCAATGCTCCCTTTTGGACACATAGGCACACAAATGAATGAATAAAAATGAAAAAAAAATTGTCACATGTTAAGATACAAAGAAGGTTATAATATACTCTCTTAGAAAAAAAAAACAGGTGTAGTGGCGCATGCCCTTGACCCCAGCACTTGGGAGGCAGAGGCGGGCAGAGAGTTTGAGGCCAGCCTGGGCTACAAAGTGAGTTTCAGGAAAGGCACAAAGCTACACAGAGAAACCCTGTCTTGAAAAACCAAAAAGAAAAAGAAAAAGAAAAAAAGAAAAACAATTGAGTCCCAGTAGACCAGCTAGCTTAAGTTCTTCTAACCTTAATGTTGGTTTTGGAGTGCATCACAGCTGAAAAAAAGCTTTGAAAGTTTGAAAATAACTTAAGGTTAGACTAAGATGTCTGTTAAACAGCATTGAGATGAAAAACCCAAGAAGACAATCTAAAGTTTTAGAAAGACACATAGCTGAGCAAGGGACTCATTAAGGCCAGGGAACAAGAACAAAGCAGCCCAATTATCATTAGCTGACATGGCTTTCTTGCTAGGATTGGTTGGTGATCCAAGATGATGATTAATTCCTGGTACCTATTTCTGCCCTCAACTTCCTGATATAAAAAACTGTTGCCGGTCAGTGGTGGCGCACACCTTTAATCCCAGCACTCGGGAGACAGAGGCAGGTGGATCTCTGTGAGTTCGAGGCCAGCCTGGTCTCCAAAGCGAGTTCCAGGAAAGGCACAAAGCTACACAGAGAAACCCTGTCTCGAAACAAACAAAAAAAAGTTGATGAGTGAGTATGCACTCTAAAGATTTAAAGCAGAGCTGACTATTTTTCATATATAAAAGTTTAAGTTTGTGCTTCTTCTAAGACTCTTTATAAGATTACCTCTCAAGATAGCAATAAAGTGATTTTTTTTTTTCTTTGTAACCACAATATGCAGCTTGCCAGTAAAAGAACTGGCTGAGAAAAATACCCTGCTTGCTTACACTCTGTTATGTAGCAAGTTACTTAGAGGTGAATGTACATGGGTTCTTGGAATGACTTTGTTTTAATCATGTAAGAGAAATGGAAAACCTGTTTTTTACCTGTATTCATTATAATCATCCACTTGAAAAATAGAATGCAACCACATTGTAATTTTTATATTGCTTGAAAGATTTTGCTGGGGTATATAAGCTGTGAGGGGAAAAAATTAAGTCAGTTAGAAGGAAAACATCAAGAATGAGAAAAGGAAAACACCAGGAAATACGTAGAAGGAAAGTTAGGAGATAGACAGAAGGAAAACACCAGGAAAGATGTAGAAGGAAAGTTAGGAGATAGACAGAAGGGAAACACCAGGAAAGATGTAGAAGGAAAGTTAGGAGACAGACAGAAGGGAAACACCGGGAAAGATGTAGAAGGAAAGTTAGGAGATAGACAGAAGGGAAACATCAGAAGAGTGGAGTAGAACAAGCAACAATAAGAATAATAAAATGACCAACCAAGCTTTGGCCCTCAGAAACCTCCTCCTGGTGTGTCTCCTTGTCCTAATTCGCCGACTCTGTGGATCCCCATTGAGCCCTGTGCTGCTGGAGGCTGGTCCTCTATTTTTTTTTTTTAAAGAGTAGACATCCCTCAGCCTCCTGAACTTGAGTCCCATAATTGTATAAACTAGGCAGTACTCTTTCTGGGGTCTCTGTTGTCAACTAGGCAGGATCTGGGATCCCCTGGAAGACTCAATGAGGGACTGTCTACATTAGTTGGCCTGTAAGCAAGCTTGTGAAATAGTTTGCTCATTAAGTTAGTTGAGTGGGGAGGACCCACCCTGAACCGGATGTAACCATTTTGTGGACTGGGTCCTAGACTGAAGGAAAAGGAGAGAGAGATGAACATAAGCATGTTTGCTCTGTTTCTTGCCTGTGGATGCAATGTGACCAGCTGTCTCTGAATTCCCCCAAATGATGGACTGTAATCTAGAACTTTCTCCCCTCAGTTGCTTTTGTCAGGGTATTTTTATCACAGCAACCACAAAATAGAAGTGTCATGGACATAACAGGTGTCCTTCTGTCCTCTCTCTAGGGTGGTGCTTCATTACAGTGGCATAGCTCTCTACAGACTATGCCCTCTGCCCATCCCCCTCCCTCTCCTAGTCTCACCGAATCTCATTCTAGCGTGCCCAGGCTATTTCTGCCTGTCCCCCATCTCATCCTCCTATCTCCACTGCCACTGGCCCAGTTCTGTCCAGGATTTCTTGCACTTAGCCCTTGTCTCCAAACAGCACCTGAGCACTCTTCCCACTCTTCCCAGGGCCTTCCTTCCCATTCTGCTGAAGGGAGTGTCCTGTCAACCCTCAAACAGAACCAAAGCAGGTAGGGCTGACACTCCGAGGTAGTGGAGGCTGTGTATTGTTATTTAGTAGTCCTGCAGAGGAGCCACAGAGTCTAGAAAAATGAGTGCTAGGGTGGGGTTTGGCTTTACATGAGTGTTACCGGGTTTATCAAGTTTTAGTGGAGAATTTAAAATCCAAGCTGCACTATACTGAGAAGAAAATTGCAAAATGAGATTGAAGGGATATGAGCCGTCAGTTTGAGAGGCGACAGCAGAGGGTAGTGTATGTTGATGGGAGCAATGCACTGGAGGGCAGTCACTGTGGTATAGAGAGGAATGTTCTAGAATCATATTTAACACGGGTGACAGGATCCAAACCACAAATGATGACTGGCTTTTGACTGGCCTACAAACATTTTACTGTAAGAGAAAGGAAGGCAGCACCTGGGGGGAGAGAGGCAGGTGAAGTGGTGGGTTTTGTGGTCAATCCAGTTCTTTTTGAAGTGTGGGCTGGGGAAGGAAAGGAGGCCCTCCTGCTAACTGAGTCACTGGCCAGGACAACCTTGTTTTCCATTCTCTTTTCCCATAGATTTTTTTGTTCCCTCTGAGAGTATACAATAGAAGATTTAATTCTTTTCTGCTCCTTGATACATAGGATAACACTTAAGTATTTGTTCACAAACAATAAACAACTGTTTTGATTGATATTTTATTAGACCTCCAAGTGGATTACAAATTTGAGGAGGAAAGATGTAACTATAACAAAACCGTATCTCATTAGTTCAACAACTTATTTACAAGTTGGGCATGCTGGCCCCCACCTGCAGTACTAGGCCCGGGAAAGCTGAGGCAGGGTCTAAAGCTGAAGGCCAGCCTGGGCTGCACAAGAAGGTCCTGTCTCAAAACAAAACCAAGTTCCCTGGTGTCAGACTGTTTTATACCACCGTGTTAGGGTGTATTAATGGACAGGAGAGCCAAGAGCTATGGATTATATAAGATAGCAAACACTATGAAGTGAACACGGGGGACCTGAGAGAGAGAGGGGCAGGAAGGCTGTAATTATGGGTGCTAGGAACCAAATGTGGGTCGTCTGGAAACAGCTCTCTTAACCACTGAGCCGTCTCTCCAGTCCAAGGGCTGTAATTTTAAGGCAGATCAGGGTAAGTGGAGGAGGTGCCAGATGAGTGAGGTTCTGAAGGACAAGCAGTCACCTGGAGAATACAGAGAACAAACCAGGGCTCAGGAAACTCGAGCAATGCTGAGGCAAACGTAAGTATCAAGGGAAGTGATTTTTCTGCTCCCACATATTATAAAGGAATCAAATGACCAAAGCAGAGAATCACCTGTGGATCTGTCTGAATTGTACCAATGTGATTATCCTGGATGCCTCATCTTCCTGGAAAACAGACACCTCCCAAAAGGTAGGTCAGAAGTTGGGAGGGGACAGGGAGACATGAGGGGGGATATTAGGGAAGGCTTAAATTAGTAGATGGGACTTTAATAAATACTACAACCAACAAAGGGGAACTTTTCTGATGGGCACTGAGGGAAAGCTGACTTGGCTCAAGACTCCCTGAAACACTCACTTCTGCTTTTTAGATAATTAAATGGCTGAATATGCTGGTCTTTTTCTCTCCCGTTTTCATGTTTTATGTTCCCTGAGGTCACTACATATCAGTCACCCCTGAGCACACAAACTGGTTTCTGCCGCACCTTTCACAGCTAATTACCTAAACGTGCTCAGCAATAGTCACCAGTGCTGCCACTGCTGCAGCAGCTACTGCAGGGCGCCATGCAACAGCAGAGGCTCCCCTGAAGCCACCTCCCACTTCGCTGTCTCGATGTGGCAGAGACTGTAACTGAGTTCTCCACTGGATGGACTAATCCTTCACCTCCACTTCAAGACCTGTTTTGAGGACTGCAGAGAGAAACACTGTCTCGAAAACCAACAACAAAAACAAATTTTAAAAAGGCCCTTTTGTGTCATGAGTATCTGTTCAGACCTGCTCTGAGTGGCTGATGTCGGAAAGGTCATTGTTTTAGTCACTGTACTACTGCTGGGAAGAGACCCCACGACCAAGGCAACTCATAACACTTTTAATTGGGGGCTGGCTTACAGTTTCAGAGGCTTAGTCCATTATCATCGTGACAGGGACCATGGCTGTACACAGGCAGAACGGTGCTGGAGAAGTAGCTGAGAGTCCTACATCCTGATCCACAGGCAGCAGGGAAAGAGAGAGAGAGACAGAGACAGAGACAGAGAGAGAAACAGGGCCTGCCATGCAAGGCCACACCTCCTAATCCTTCAATAGCACCACGCTTAGATGACTAAGTGTTTAAATATATGAGCCTGTGGAAGCCGTCCTTATTCAGACCACCAGTTTTTGTTGTTTTTGTGGTTTCAACAAGCATGTCCTGGTGCTCCCTCCTGGCACAAGAAACTGACAGGGACTGTAACTGAGGTGAAGTCATACATGCATTGTTACTGCACTGAGGGCCTCACTGACTCTCTCCTCTTCCCAGGTCTGACTTCAGGTGGTGAGTACTTCTGGTCCTTTAACGTTTCAACCGGCCTGCACCTGTTGAGGTTTGTAAGTTTTGATGTAAGCTGTGACTTCCACTCCAGTCATCAACAATCGCTAGGGAAGTTTATTTATTCCCTCTGTGGCTCAGAGGCTCCAGACATCCTGGTGGCTGCTTAGCCTCTGTCGTGGTTGGAATGAGACTGGCCCCCATAGGCGAATGTTTCATCCTAGTTGGTGGAACTGTTTGGTAAGGAATAGGTGTGGCCTTGTTGGAGGAGGTGTGTCACTGAGGGTAGGCTTTGAGGTTTCAAACTCCACACCATTGGAATTATCTCTCTGCCTGGTCCTTTTTGGCACAACACCAAGCTCTCGGCTACTGCACTAGCAACATGCCTGACTGCTCCCATTCTCCCTGATGTGATGGTTATGAATGCATCCTCAAATCATAAACTAGCCTACAAACTAAATGCTTTCTTTTATACATTGCTTTGGCTATGGTGTCTGGCCATGGTGTCTCTTGACAACAACAGAAAAATAACTAAGAAAATCCCCATAAAGGATTGTGTCTGGAGGTCGTCCTGAGCTTGATTCACACGGGCCAGCTGAAGTTGCCAGAAATAAACCAGAAGCCAGGTCTTCTGGAATGGAAACAGCAGAAATGCTAGGTGATTTCTAAGTCTGGGTTTGTTACATTAAAAAAAAAAAAAATCCCAGAGAGATGGTTGTGATGCAAGCGTAAGGACCAGAGTTCAAGTCCAAAACCCACATAAAGGGGGCAGGAGAAAAATCAATTCCCAGTTGTCCTCTGACTGCCTCCACATCTGTGCACCGGCAAATACACACACCACACCGCACGCGCACCCAGAGTAAAATTTAAAAGAATAAAACTCCAGAACTCTCATTGTTTGTTGTAGAGGATGGGGGTAGATCTTCCTGTCTGTGTGTTCCCCTTTCTATCTGCTTTGTTTTGTGACAAGGTGTTTACTCTGTAGCCCAGACTTACCAGGAGCTCACAACAGAGCCCAGGCTGCTCTCGAACTCGCCGCAATTCTCCTGCCTCAATCTCCCAAATGCTGGGATTACAGCGGGAGGCATCACTCATGGGTTTTTTTTTTTTTTTTTTTTTGGTTTTTCGAGACAGGGTTTCTCTGTGTAGCTTTGCGCCTTTCCTGGAACTCGCTTTGGAGACCAGGCTGGCCTCGAACTCACAGAGATCCGCCTGGCTCTGCCTCCTGAGTGCCAGGATTAAAGGCGTGCGCCACCACCGCCCGGCTTCACTCATGGGTTTTTTGTCGTTACCCACAGCCCTCCCTTTCCGTCTTCCAATTGCCACACATGCAGGAAGTTTCCGTCCCTCACGTCACTGTCACAGAGGGTCTGTCCCTCAAAGCACCCACCGAAGGAGATACGTATCTGGAAGGGGTAGGCCCCGCCCCCGCCGGCCACGTGATCTGGCGGTCCGCAGGCCCCGCCCCTGGGCGCCTCGAGGCCACGTCGATGGTGGCTGGGCGGGACCACGGCCGGCGCGCGTGCGTGCCCCGCCCCTCCTGCGGAGCCCGGATGAAGTGTAACGCCATTACCGCCCGAGCCGCCGAGAGCCCTAGCGGACTCGCAGTGGACGCTGACCGGCCGCACCATGAGACTCCTCCCCCGGCTGCTGCTGCTGTTCCTGCTGGCCTTCCCCGCCGCCGTGCTGCTCCGCGGCGGCCCCGGAGGTGAGGGGCGCGGGGGATGGGCCCGGCATCGCGGCCGCCCGGGACCTCTTCCCCGGGGGGGCCGTGCTGCCCCCCAGGACCCACCGCGGCTCGGCGCCCCCTGCGAGCGCGGGCCCGTAGCCCTCGGTCCGCGGGACCCACGCCGGGGCCGGCCTCGCCGCTGCCCGCGTGCTGCGCGGGCCCCCGACCCCCAGCCCCCCGGCCTCCAGCCTCTGCGCTGACGTGTCGCTAGCCCCACGCGGGCGCGCCTCCATTCATTCGCCCAGAGTGGACTCTCCACCTCGGCGCGGTGGATCATAGTCCCTCAGTCTCCTTGATCGCCCAACGTGGTCTGTGTGGACCTCGAGGCTCGGTGTCCAAAAGCGCCCCTTCTTCCTTCTGCTCCTCAGCCGCTACTGAAGAGTTCCCACGGGATGGCTTTCTTTTCGTTTTCTAACGTCTCCCTCCTCCCCTCTCCCTTTCCCAGCCAGTTTCTGCTGGTTGGAAATGTGCTGGGAAAAAGTTACTTCGAGATTTATGAGTTTATTCATTCCAGCGATTAACCTGGGGTAAAAAAAACTTGGCAGAATGTAAAAACGTAGAAACTTTTTCCTCTTGCCCTTCATGAACTTTGATTTTTCCAATTTATAAAAAGAGTTTGAATAATCGCCAGAATTCCATTCCTTTTTCTAAGTTTCCGCGGCCCAGGGCATAAGAAGTAATGATCCACGTTCAGAAGCTGTTCCAAGAAAACAGGAAGTGATTGGTTTCTATTTAGTAGCTAGTATGGCTTTGAGTAACTGTTACAGATTTTGGTTGGGGGCGCGGTGGGGACACGGGACAGGTGTTGAGACAGTCTCACGGAGGTTAGTAACCCTGGCTGGCTTCGAAATCTCTGTAGCCTAGCAGGACCTTGAACTCTCTGATCCTTGTGCCTGTCCCTCTGGAGTGCTGGGTTTCAGGTGTCTGGCACCACACCCCATCAATGAGGTGGTGGGGATGAACCCAGGACTTCCAGCATGCCAGGCATGCAAGACATGCACGCTAACAACTGAGCTACAACCATAGCCCTTTGGATTTTCTTTTTTTTTTTTTTAACCTGGCTTTGGAAAATGATGTATAAACTACGAATGAACCGTTTTAACTCAGGAAGGTGAAAACTTAAAAATGCATGGTCCTAAGGACAGATGGTTTCCCGTAGGTATCGCACGTGTGGCTCTTCCCACAGTTCCTTCTCTACTGAATTGCCACATCATCAGTCTCTGAGAAGTGCTGGAAAGAACTGCTAGAACTTTGAAGGGCTTCCAAGGGTTTTTTTTTTTCTTTGCTACTAACCATGAAGATACCACATATTTTAAATTTTTTTATTTTAGTGTGTGTGTGTGTGTGTGTGTGTGTGTGTGTGTGTGTGTCTGTCTGTCTGTCTGTCTGTCTTGTCTTTCTGTATGTGTGACTTGCAGTGCATATGTAGAGACTAGAGGACGCCTTTCAGAGTGAATCCTAAGGATCAAATTGACATAGTCAGGCTTGGCATCAAGTGCCCTTAACTCACTGAGTTTGAGTCTGGCCTCCCTATTTTGTGCCTTTTGATATTAGAAACATTCCCTTTAATACGCAGTAGTTAAGACTACTAATAAAAAAATATAAATATTGTTGTGCAGTGACATTGTTCAGCTGACCAGGGAAACTGAATTACTATAGGCAGAACATTTTTTTTCTTTCTTTTATCTTTATTTATTTATTTATTTATTTATTTATTTATTTATTTATTTATTTATTTTTATTGTTTTTCAAGATAGGGTTTCTCTGTACAGCTTTTGACTGTCCTGAAACTAACTCTGTAGAGAACTCACAGAGATCCACCTGCCTCTGCCTCCCAGTGCTGGGATTAAAGGCGTGCACCACCACCGCCCGGCTTAGAACATTTTCTTATCCAGACCTGATGTTTAAAAACAGTGATAAGAGTGTTGATTTTTTATTTTATTTTCAGGGTCATTAGCAGTGGCTCAAGATCTTACAGAAGATGAAGAAACAGTGGAAGATTCGATAATTGAAGATGAAGATGATGAAGCTGAGGTAGAGGAAGATGAACCCACAGATCTGGTTAGTGCTATATACTATATCTAGTATGTATATGATACATGAAGGTGGGGTCCCCCCCGAATTTTGAGGTAGTCTCACTGTAGCCCAGACTGGTTCTAAACTTATGGTAGCTAGGATGACCTTGAACTTCTGGTCCACCTGCCTCCTCTTCCCAAGTATAGGACATGATGTGTTTTATTTGGTGCCAGAGATTGAACCCAGGGCTTCAGGAATAGTGGGCAAGTACACTACCAACTGAGCTAGATACTTAGCCCAAGAATATGTTCTTCTTATTGGCAAATTAGGTAAATTTTTTTTTAAGTTATATGAATGCATGGGTACTTGCATGTGAGTTCAAATGCCTAAGGAGGCCAGGGGCATTTGATCCCCTGGAACTGGAGTTACAGACAGTTGTGGGTTTTAGATATGAGTCCTCTGCAGAAGCCGTATGTGTTCTTAGCCTCTGAGCTATCTCCCCTGGGTTGAAGTTGGCCTAAGGGCAAGTCATTAAGAATGAACACAAGGATTTTCTGGAGTAGGGGAGGAGAATAGATGCACTGAACATGTTCAGATCATTCATATGTGAATGTAGGAGGAGAACAGTATAGTGGGGCTAGCAGCAGACCTGAGCTATTAAATTTGGAGCCTACGGTGCTCAGCTTTCTAGGTCTGTCTTTTCTTTTTTTGTGCTTGCTTACTTTCATTCAGTAGCCTGCCGTGACTCCCGTGGGGCCATCTCTACTATGTAGCAAGGCTCTATTCTGGTACTAGATAGAACAAGTGCGATATTTTCTCTGCTTTCTTAAAAAGTTGATGTTCGTGTGGATAATGTGAGTGTGTTTGGGGAGCAGGGGATAAAGAGCAGGTGATAAAATAGGCCTTCTGAATAGTAACCATTAGAGAAGATCTCTTAGAAGTTAGCTCTGAAATTTGTGCTCTGTAATAGTGACAATATGAATATCTGGCTCAGGTGGAGAGATGGCTCTGCAGTTAAGAACACTGGCTACTCTTCCAGAGGACCTGAAACATCTGTAATTCCAGTTCCAGGGGATCTGATGCCCTCTTCTGGTCTCCATGGGCACTGTGTGCACATGGTCCATAGGTGCACATACATGCAGGCAAACACATATATATAAAGTTCAAAAAAAAAAACAACCCAGCTCAAATTGGGGTCATTGCCACAACATTCTTCCTGCTTAAGCTGGTAGTTTGCTCCTTTTTTTTTTTTTTTTTTTTTTTTGAGTTAACATTTTGATATACAGGCACATGGTATTTCATCTGAATAGAATACCCTTAATTTTTATGCTTTGCTGGCTCCCTGCTTTTAAGAGACCTTTACTGGTGATCTGTGCCAAGCCTTATGCTTGGAGGCTGTGCATCTTCAACCCATTTCATTAGAGGAGCAGCCTTAAGTAGATTACCTGCTACCTGCTCTGTCCTCTGCTTATGGAGGTGGTCTGGGATACACGGACTCGTCTGTGCTGTTGTACTAGGTAGTAGGCACTGGGCTTTATATTCCTTTGTGACCTGAGGTAAATCATAAGGTTATTATCTCACTGTCCTAAGCTTTCCATGTTGTCATCTGTTCTTCCAGACATTGCTAGCTTTAACTCCTGTGTCAGTCCTCTGGCAGCAGTGTTGGCTCTGGTGTCAAAATGAGGGCCTTCAACAGTGAGCTCTCAGAGTTCCACCTCTGTGCATTTCCTCCTGACAGTGTTATGCTCCGTCTAAGGGTCTCCATCTCACCCTGTGGATCGTACAGGATTCTTTGCTTTTGTCCGGCATTGGTCCTTCTTGTTGGCATTCGGGTCTGGAGCTGCACACATGCAGATACACTGTCTTCCCACCTTCAGTTGCTACTTGCTTTTTTGCCTTTGCCGGTACCAGGTACTTCCTGAAAGAGTAATCTGTGCTTTCTGCTCTTATGTAGCTTCATATCCGTTACCCATCAGGATCTGTCCTATATGAGTAGTGAAAGTTGCTAAGGTCACCAGCAACCTCATTGCCAAATTACTGGCCCATTTTCCTGGTTGCATAGTTCAGGCCCTTTTTAGCATTTGCTATTTGCATTTGAATCCCACTCTGTTAGCCTGTGGTACCCCTTTCTCTTTCCTGCCTGCTTGCTGCTGGGATTCTCTCTGCTACCTTCTGCTTACACCCTAATGTTGGTAAAACCTGATTTTAACCACTACAACCGCCTTTAATAGCTTTCAGGTCTCCTTTCTAGCCCTTTACCTTGAGCTCCACAAATATTGCCACCACTTTGCAGCATAGTACACTTCCAATTTCATATGCCCACAATGGAGTTCGGCACTTAGCAGCTATCCTTCTTCCCCCATAAATGATTGTCTGCTTTTATGTGGCTCCAGTGGATTGGACTGTTGTCTTTTTCTTTTGTTTTATTTTTGAAGTCCATTAATCGAATCATAGTTGTGATTTCTCTCTCTCACTTTTTTTCCCTCAAGTATACTTTGCTACTTTATTCTTACAGAATTTGTTAGCCTTCCTGTCTCAGGTCTGTTTGCCTACTTGTGTTTTGGAGACAGTGTATTGCCCAAGCTGGCTTCAAACTCCTATGCTCAATCAGCAATCTGTCTCTGTCTTCAAAAGTCATATCTTGCCTTGTGTATTCCTCAGATCTGGGGAACTCTGTCTCTGTAGAGGGGTGTGTATTCACCATTACCATACCATTTCAATGGTATTTGACAGATATACCATTTCAGTGGTGTATGGCTGATTGTCATGAGGAAATTTTAATTGGAATGTAAATCTTTCTGGGCTGCTAATAAGGTGCTTGAGAATGGGGCTGGACAAAATGTTGTTACTGGCCAAATCCAGCTCTGCTCATCCATTTATTATCTGGCTGCTTTCACACAGCAGCAGCAGAGGTAAGTAGTGATGAGGAGGGGGACCTTATTATGGTCTCTCCTTAGAAGGAAACTAGCTTGCCAGTCTCTGTTCTAAGGACCTTGCAGTTCAAAGTGTGGCTGGACTCCTATCCATGATGGCATTTCCTGAATGCTTATGAGAAATTGAAACAGAATTTCAGTCTTTACCTGAGGTAGAGCTACCAGATTCCCATTGGCTTGGTGTGCACATTTTCATGAGCTGTTTAATTGATGAGGTAGGGCAAAGTAATACCATTATACTTACTTGGCTGCAGAGATGCTGTGGTCCAGGAGGTAGCTTTCCCAGGGAGAGGCTCATCCATTGACTTGGGATGTGCTGAGTAGTGATTTCCCCAGTGCAGAAAACTCCACTGTATAAATTGTGATATTGGCAGACTGTGTTTGTGATCTTCTCGTAAAAAAAAAAATAAGAAATTCATACCACCAGTACCAGCAAATCAGTATTTTATCCCAGTCTAGTGAAGTCTGTACTTCAGTGATTTTTTTTTGTCACCCCTTTAACAGCAATCTGTTTTTGATGATGTTGCCCTTAGGCAGAAGATAAAGAAGAAGAAGATGTATCTGGTGAACCAGAAGCTTCACCGAGTGCAGACACAACTATCTTATTTGTAAAAGGAGAAGGTAATGCAGAATTATCTGTTTAATTCTGATCTTACGTTTATGAACACTGTGTGGTAATGCTGGTATTTAAAGGGGAAAGTAAATGTTATTTGGTTTACTAGAAATTAAACATTCTTCTCAAAAATACTTTAAAAAAAACGTATGTGTGCATGTGGGTGCACACGTGCCAGTGGGGGCGTGTGGAGGCTTGAGGATGACTGCAGGAGGCCTGCTCTTGTGCCGGCTTCTGGGATCAAACTCAGGTTATCAGGCTTACTTGCTGGCACTTTTACCCACACAGCCATCTTACCAGCCCCAAAGGTACCATTCTTGAAACTTTTTCCAAGCTGTGTCAGTAATACTGGTTTGTTCTGTTTTGATGGCTTGAGTTTAATCCCTGGAACCCATGTTAAAAGAGCCAGTAATCACATGAAAAAGCCCAGTCAGGGTGTCTCATTGAGGCTGTGAGGCAGCTAGCCGGGAGTAGGCAGCCCTGCAGAAACAAGATGGCCCTTCCTGAGCAAGTGAGGAGGAGAACTGACTCCCAGAAGTGGTTCTCTGTTTTATGTGTTTGCATCCACACTCACACCCATACTAACTTTTAAAAGAAGTTTAGTTTGTTGGTATTGAACTGAAGGTCCTCCTGCCTCAGCCTCCCAAGTGTTGGGATTACAGGCATATATCATCAGACCTGTCTGGAATTTGGTGGTATTTTTGAATGATTAAATATCAGTGAAATACTAAATGTTTACAATTAGGCCTTGGTTACAGCATAGCATTAATTTAGAAAGGAATATTAAGGTTGTGTATTTCTTGCTCCAAATGCATAAGACCAGAAGTGGTTTTGATTTTTTTTTTTTTTGAGTTTTAGAATATTTTTATAGACATGAGCTATTTGTAGGGTGGATTTGTTTCATGTGCATCACTTGAGACTTGGATTTTCCACTTGTAGCATCTTGTTGACCCACAAAAGTTTAGATTTTGGAGCATTTCCACTCTTCCGGCTAGGGCTACTCAAATTCTTGAGTGCATTTATTTATTGAGGGCTTTGTGGATAGCATTGTTCTTTATACTTTGCAGTGCTTACTTAATCCCAGCAAACCCTGAGGATATAGTTATTGGTGGTCTTGGGTTTAGAGGGGTTAAGAAACTTGTTCTATGATTACTCAGAACATAAACTAGAGTGCAGAGACAAGATTCTAACCCAGTCTGTCTGTTCTGTAGCCTGTGTTATTCTAGGTGGAGTTCAACCCATTAGGCTGTTGTACAGTGTTATGGAAGACTAACAACAGAAACTGTGAATTTTTTTGGTCTTACTTTTTTCCATATATCCATTTTATGCCTGCAAAAAGTGATTTGATTGCTGGGGATGTACTCAATAGTTCTTGACATACCTAGAAAGTACAAAGCCCCTGTTCTATTCTCAGCACTTGAGAAAAGGGAATTTAAGTGTGTGATGACCTCCTTCCTTTACTTTTGTAGTAACATACTGAGCTATATAAACCTCTTGCATGATAATCTTGCTGCTATGATTTTCTTAGCCTCTTAATCTGGATGTGATTAGGCTGAAATTGCAATACCCACTTTATCTCCTAAATTGGAATCCCAGAGAACAGACAAAAGATTTTTAGTTTGTAGTATCGCTCTGATTGTTCAGAGCTAGTAGTCATACTAGAGTGCTCTGGTGAAGAGAATTCTGAAACCAAGTCCGTGTCTGTGTTTCCTTTTGAACTCTGAATGTGCTCTGACCCCACCCCCACCCCTCCTATTTTGTGTCTTAGATTTTCCAGCAAACAACATCGTGAAGTTCCTGGTAGGCTTTACAAACAAGGGGACAGAAGATTTTATTGTTGAATCGCTAGATGCCTCATTTCGTTATCCTCAGGACTACCAGTTTTACATCCAGAATTTCACAGCTCTTCCTCTGAACACTATAGTGCCACCCCAGAGACAGGCGACTTTTGAGTATTCCTTCATTCCTGCAGAGCCCATGGGGGGACGGCCTTTTGGTCTGGTCATCAATCTGAACTACAAAGATTTGAACGTAAGACCTTTTGAGTTGTGTTTTGTTTTTGTTAGAGACTGCAGGGAACAGTGGCCATTGTCGAATGGTTTTCTGTCTGATAAGTGCTTATTTTGTGTTCAAACTGTAATGGGCACCAAGAATGCAAAGGGGATTGCCTATCCGTCTCTAACTGCGTTTCCAAGGTGGTGAGGGAGATGGCCAGAAATAAGCAGCAGCACAGTGTAAGTGTGCCTGCCTGAGCTCTGTGGAACCAGGTGCTGCTGTTAGGATCTTGACAAGGGCCAGGAAGGGCGAAGTGGAGTCTGCCTCTTACTCAGATGCTGCTGAATAGTTTGTTCTGTCTCATTTTGTTGTAGACCTTTTGGCCCATTTAAATGCTTCTAAAGACTTTGTTACAGTTTTGCTCTTTTGTATACTCATAGATAAAATACAACCCACTTTTGCTGAGCGGTGGTGGCACATGCCTTTAATCCCAGCACTCGGGAGGCAGAGCCAGGTGGGCCTCTGTTAGTTCGAGGCCAGTCTGGTCTACAGAGCAAGATCCAGGATAGGCACCAAAACTACACAGAGAAACCCTGTCTCGAAAAACAAAAAACAAAACAAAAACAAAAAACCCACTTTTAAATACAGTTTTAGCAGCAAAGTTTATGTGTTAATTTCATTTAAGCCCAAAAGGAATCCACTACTGTGGGGCAGAGACCCCAAGTGACAACTCTTACGTTCTCTATTGCATGAGGCTGTGTTTATCCAATTTCTTTTCCCAAGAGCATCCTTCAAGGAGTGGGTTCCACCTTCCCTCACCCCGTTAATGTGTTCACCTTGTGTCTTCAGCTAGGCCCTGCACTGTGATTAGCACAGAGGAAGAGATTCTCATTCTGTCTCAAAGTGACATTTAAATAGCTAGAGTTACTTCATTTTGTGTCTATCATCTTATTTTCAAGTTAAGATTGAGTTGAGTTAGGTTCAGTTTTAAAGTGCTACATTTGTGGAAGAACAGCTGTTGTGTGTCTGGTGGTTCCCTGTACTAGAAAACTAAAGTTTTGTTAAATTGTCAAAATTGTTTTAAGATGATAATAGAAAAAATGCTTTGGAACTGGAAATAAATCACTGGTCCATTCCTTAGAGTGGAATTGGTTTCCATTCCGGTTCAGTGTAGATAGATCATGGACCTGACTTTGTCCAGGTTTGCTTTGTAAGTGGTCTGCTCCTGCAGCTGCCACTGAGGAGCTCTGTGGGCTCTGCTTCTTCCTGCCATTCCTCTGTGAACTGCTGTCCTGGCTCCTGAAGGCACCACCTCCCTGCTCCCTGAGGAAAGTAGAGGGTGGTCCTGGCAATTTCCTGGGCATTTTTATCTCATGGGGGAATTAACATCGTAAGGTTTTGTTTCTGGCATTGAGTCCTGCAGTTACATGTGGCTTTATTGTCCCTTGTGACTGGTGGGAAAGTTAAGTCCAGTAGGATAACAGTTTTAAGGACACTGGTCATTTTTACTCTTTCAGCACATCTCATATGTGATTTTTAATGTGTGTTTTTTAAACAGGGCAATGTATTCCAAGATGCTGTCTTCAATCAGACAGTTACAGTGATTGAAAGAGAGGACGGGTTAGATGGAGAAACGTAAGTAAAGCGGTCCTTGTGTATCTGGAGCTCACAGATTGAGCTGGAGGGCAGTGTGCTCATATCTCAGAACATCTTTAAATGGTCAGAATGCAATGGTCCCTGCAGATTTGGAATACTTACTGCAGAGTCCACATGTTATGTGCTTCTTGTGCCTATTAATACAAGTCAGGAAAGATGGTTGAAACTGGAAAAATGCCTTTACAAAGGTAGTAGTTGACTCTTCTCTTCCCACATCTCTTCTGTTTGAATTGAGATTTAGCCCATCTAACATGTCTCGATGATAATCACACAAAATAGGGTTTTTTCCTTGAGAAATGTTTTTTTTGAGTGAAGAATCATTTGTGAACTTAAATGTGACTTACTTGAAGGGATTTATAAGGCTAGTTATGAAAAAGGATGTAACTGTGAAGCAAACAAAACTACTGAGTTGTCTTAAACTGGGAGTTCGAAGTAAAACACAACTTAGATGGTAGAGTTTTTTATTGACAAAGTGTTCTTAACTCTAAATAAAAGGAAATTTGTAAAGCTTGTTGCCTAGAATTAATTAAAATGCTGTTACTTCTTTTTCCTACAATTTATTTGGAAAGCTGTTGTAGCATGTGATAGGATTTTGTTTTTAATTAGATATAGTATGTATGAATTAACACGAGCTATATTTTCTTTTTTGTACCAGAATTTTTATGTATATGTTCCTTGCTGGTCTTGGGCTTCTGGTTGTTGTTGGCCTTCATCAGCTCCTAGAATCTAGAAAGGTAATTATGAATGAGCAGCTGGGAAACCACACCCAGCTGTTACAGTACTAATACGCTGGAGTTCTTACTGTAGTTTGTTGTGCCTTTTAAAACAGTCCCCAGAGATGAGACTTTGGATGTGTGGCTTGAATTTATTCTGAGATGTGTGCACAAATCCAGTTAGTGTGCTAGTTACTCTCTAAAGTGATCTCTACTGTCTCACTGTAATGTTCCATGAGTTCAGAAAGATTTTCTTCCACCTAATACATTTTCTCGTGAATGGATTGAATTATCTGTAATTGACCAATTTATTTGGGTTAGAATTCTTAGTGAGAGGGGGTACTTTTTTGTGTATTCAGAATTTATAGACTATGTAAAACTGTTTAAATAGATTATCAGAGTTTCTACCTGCTAGGCAAGCATTCTACACTGAACTGTAAGTATAGCACTTGGTTTTTGAGAGAGGTTTTTCTGTGTGGTTCTGGCTGGCCTTAAAGTCCAGTGTAGCTCCATCTGGCCTGGCATGATCGATCCTTCTTTCTGTGTCCTCCCAGGTGCTGGGATTACAAACTTTGCCCACAGAATTTTGAGACAGTCTTAACTATGTATATCTGGCTGGACTCAAACTCATAGGGATCCACCTGCCTCTGCCTTTTGGGTACTGGGATTAAAGGTGTGTACCACTGCGCCAGCTTCCTGCACAGGTTAGATTTTTAAATTTCAGAGCAAGGCTAGAGAAAATGGAATTAAATTGGTTTTATAGTCCAGTATTGCAGCAGATATGCTATAGAAAAAGTCTCTCCCTCTCTTTGTTTTGGTTTTTTGTTATTTGTTTTTGAGACAGAGTCTCATGTAGCCTACTCTGACCTTGAATTTACTGTGTTGCCAAGGCAGTCCTTGAACTCCTGATCCTTCTGCCTCTTCCTGCAGTGTCCTGGGATTATAGATACATACCACTATGCCTTGAAAATTTCATGCCATTAATGAATTTATAGTCAGCCTATGTGAGATTTTGTGTGGGTTTTTTTGTATCTGTGCCTACTTTTTAATTGTATTTAACTACCAATGAAAGATTGCCTGCTTGTAACATTTCAATAATTATCCTCAATTTCACTGACTGGATATTTTTTATGATCTAATTCCTAAATGGAAAGAAAATTATTGGGTAAATGGTGTTCTTATTTGATCTGTCAGTGGTATAACAACAAATTAGGCTCTTTACAGGCTGAAAATAGTCAAGATTGATTGATTGATTGATTGATTGATTGATTTTGGTTTTTCAAGACAGGGTTTCTCTGTGTAGCTTTGCGCCTTTCCTGGAACTCACTTGGTAGCCCAGGCTGGCCTCGAACTCACAGAGATCCGCCTGGCTCTGCCTCCCGAGTGCTGGGATTAAAGGCGTGCGCCACCATCGCCCGGCTAAGATTTATTTTTTTTAAAGCATTTTCCTATTACATTTATTTATTTTTGGGTGGGTATGTATACATGTGCATTCACATGTATGCACTTTGGCATGTGAGGAGGTCAGAAGTCAACTTGGAGAAGTTGATTCTTCTGTCATTTGGGACTCTGGGATCAAATGTAGGTCATCAAACTTGGTCGCAAGCATCTTTACTCACTAAAAAGACATGATGTTTTCATCCTTCTAGCAAATAAAATGTATGTTAGGGTGTTTGAAAACAAAAGAATGTAATTTGTCTGCTAAGATACTCAAATTATATATGTTGATCAATGTTTTTAAAATTAGAATAAACAATGCTGTGACATGTTTTTGAAATATGTCTTTTATGTTCTTATAGCGCAAGAGACCCATACAGAAAGTAGAAATGGGCACGTCAAGTCAAAATGATGTTGACATGAGCTGGATTCCTCAGGAAACTTTGAATCAGATCAGTAAGTAGCCTTATAAACTTTGTGAGAAATTTTTCTCTAAATAGAAACTAAGTAGTTTCAATTCAGCAAAAAAAATGCTTGGTCAGTACTATTTACCATTGATCATTTCCATTACTTGTTTAGACTCTGGTGTAGTGATTAACTTAAAGACTTGTTCCGTGTATAGTGTTTTTATGATTGAATGTAGAGGTGCTTTCCGACATGCAGCTTGTTTGTAAGTGTCTGAGTTCTCTCTAATCCGTTTCCTGTCTTTTCCTCCCTGTCGCTTCAGTGCAGAGTAGAAGAGGTGAGGTGGTTCATTTCTTCATGGGCTTTGCTACCACGGTGGGGGCTCCTGCATAGTGCATGAGGAAGCAAGTTGAATAATGGAACTGTAATTGGGGGGGGAAATACCACAAAGTGCTTTTTAGTTTTTCAAGACAGGATTTCTTTGTATAGTCTTGGCTGTCCTGCAACTTGCTCTGTAGCTCAGACTAGCCTTGAACCCACAGAGATCCACCTGCCTCTCTGCCTCCAGAGATTAAAGGTGAACACCACCAATGACCAACAACTGCCTATAAGCTACTTTTGAAAGAATGGATCTAAAATATTACTTAATATATTCTGGGTTTATTTTTTGTTTTTTGTTTTTTTTTAATAGGCAGTTTGGTTTTTCAAGACAGGATTTCTCTGAAACAGCCTTGGCTGTCCTGGAACTCGTTCTGTAGACCAGGCTAGCCTTGAGCTCACAGAGATCTGCCTGGCTCTGCCCCCCAAGTGCTGGGTTAATGGTGTGCGCCACCACTGCCCCGCTAGTCTTCAGTTATTCTTGATAAACATTTATTATAAAATGTATCCTAGTCACTTTTTCAAGAAAAAGGATGTTAGGCATATTCTTTCATTTCATAGAATACTTATAAATAAACCTCACACCTTGGTGAAAGTATCTTTTTCCAGTTTTTTGTTTGTTTTTGTTTTTTAATTTTTTTATCTTCAGAAATCATTTGGTGGTGATGACAAGATAACCAGATCTTGTATATTGCCCAACCTGGCCTTGTATCTGGTTTCAAATGATCTTCCTGCCGCCACAGTTAGCACTTGTCACCAGGCTGTATACATTTTCTTTATTCTTTTTGGAAAAATAATAGCTTATTTCCCAGTGAGCTGGTCTTCCTGGTACACCGAGTGCTCCTAGAAAATGAGGTGAGGGTATGTCCAACCTTTTTTTGAAACAGCCTTTGTAGATTTAGCCCAGGCTGGCCTCAAACTCAGCTTCCCTAGGACTGAGATTACAGGCATGAACCACCAGACCCATCTTGGCCCTCTGTTTTTAAAAGAAACATATAGATTATTTCTTTTATAGAATAGTAGAAACTCAACACTACATATATTTCTGTTAAATTCTAAAGTGATTCTGTGTACTGGAGTGGTTTTAGCTTTGAGGTACTAATGTCCTTTGCTTGCTTTTTCCAGATAAATTTGTATAGTTGCCCAAACTTATGCACCCAACTAAATCTTATATTAGTGTCCAACATAAGTATGCTTCAAATGTGTCATATCTTTTAAATGTTTTTTAAGCAGAATCTCATAGTAGCCTTTGCTATAAGCTTTGAACTCCTAATCCTCCTGCCTGCATCTCCCAAGTGCTGGGATTGTGGCCCACCATGCCTAGGTCTTTTAAAGTATCTTGAAATTCTTGCTTTTGCACATACAAGCATGTTATAGAGTGTGCGTGTGTGCTTGGTGTCTGTGGTGGTAGAACAGCCCTTGTCAGCATGTTATAGAGTGTGCATGTGTGCTTGGTGTCTGGTGGTAGAACAACCCTTGTCAGCATGTTATAGAGTGTGCGTGTGTGCTTGGTGTCTGTGGTGGTAGAACAACCCTTTTCAGATGGTTTCCTACGTTCGATGTGAACATTTCAGTTTAATTGGTGTTACCCTGGAAGGATATTTTCAAACTTATTTTTAAAACCTAGAGCTAGGTAAGAGACATTTGTTACCAGATGTGTGTGTGTGTGTGTGTGTGTGTGTGTGTGTGTGTGTGTGTGTGTGTGTGTGTGTAGAGTGCACTGCTATCTGAAAAGGCAAAACACTCTTGAGTTAGTTAGCTTCTTACTTGCTCTCTTTCAGATAAAGCTTCTCCAAGAAGGCTGCCCAGGAAGCGGGCACAGAAGAGATCGGTGGGATCTGATGAGTAAATGTTCTTTGTGCAACAATTCAGTCTGTGCTTCCCCTGCCCTAATGTTTTTCGGCCTGATGGGAATTAGTGCAGAGAAGCCATATCACCATAGAAGGCAACTACTGCTTATGTGTGGACTGAGCAGTCAGAGTCTGTGGCGATAATATTGTGAAAATGCACTGCATTCATTTTTCTAAAGTAACAAATTTGGCTTTTTTGTTTTTGTTTTTTTTTTTTTTAAACATTAAACTGTGTGGGTGTGAATGTCTGAGCAGTTGTCTTACCAGAATCATTGTTAAACTACCTGAACCACGCCTTTAGAATACTCAGCAAAACGCTGGTGCCGCTTCCCTTGTATTTTCTGAGTTTTGCCCCCAAGCTCAATTAATATTTGTGGCCAGTGTGGTTTTAGATGTTCTGCCATGGATCATTTTGAGGAAATAATTTGTTTATTTCTTGGAATTGATCAAATCCAAGCTGACGGGCACAAACAGGCCTTTTGCTTGCTACAGCTTATATTCTTTTTTTTTTGTTTTTTTTTGTTTTTTTTGTTTTTTTTGTTTTTCGAGACAGGGTTTCTCTGTGTAGCTTTGCACCTTTCCTGGGACTCACTTGGTAGCCCAGGCTGGCCTCGAACTCACAGAGATCCGCCTGGCTCTGCCTCCCAAGTGCTGGGATTAAAGGCGTGCGCCACCACCGCCTGGCTACAGCTTATATTCTAAAGGCACAAGCAGGAGTGACTGCTCCCTGAGCAGCAGAGGCATGCTGGGTATCTGCTGCTGTTTACTGTGTGCACACCTTCAGGAACTCACCAATGGAGTCAAGGAATTTTGGAATCTCTAGCAACAAAATTGTGAAACCTGACAGTTCTATTGATGTTGGTATATAAATCCTAATTTTACGCCTGTTTTCTTTTTTTTTTTTTTTTAAACAAAAAATAGTTTGCGCAAACTGGGTTGTTGTGTTGTCTGTTGTTCCTGTGACCTGGGAGAGCTCTGGAGTGACCTCATTTCCTTGCCTCTTTACTTGTTGTTGGCTTTCAGCAGCGCATTTTGTTCTTAGAAACAATCTTAAGAAAACTTGTCATGGTTTACAGACCAAGGGGATCAAGTTTTAGGGGCAGGGATACATTTTGGTTAATCCTAACCTACAAAAACATTAGTTGGAAACTTTTAAAGTAGTTACAAGGTTTATCTTTGGCCTGATCTTTTGGGGTTTTTGATTGTTGACCTACTTCTTGTCTTTGTTAATGTGGAAAATTCCCAAAATTTAAGCACTTAAGATTGCAGGGCCAAAGTTAAGCTGGTTTTGATAACAATCCTTTAGTTACTCTTGCCTGAACTAGTGAATTAAGTTTGGCGTTATTGTCAGACTTAAAGTAGCGCTGAGTTCAGTGAATGGTCAGAGGCTTCCTTCTCTCTGTTTTTAAGCCATAGTCTCCCTGTGGTATTACAAGGAAGTAGTATTTCAGTAGTTCTTTTATTCCTGACTTCATTTTCATTGGAAGGTCCATTCCCTTCCCCACACATCTAAAGGAAAACAACAAAACAAAATACACAGAGAAACAGAACTCCCAAGCTGTTTAACATGTGAGCCAAAGCCAATAACGATGGAAGGTCTTCTGTAATTGTTAATCATTTTGCAAAAGGGGCTGAAATGTCAAATTGCCTGTATTTGCATTGCTGGACTGTAAACTTTCTATGGCTGTAATATAATGTGTGTGGGTTTTTAATCGGGCTGTATAATCAGTTTATTTTGAAAAGGTTCTTTGAGGCCTGAGGAACTGTATGGTTTTTAACTTGATGTAATATAAGAGACCCTTCTCATTCTCAAGAAACATTTTCCAGAACCTTCTGTGAATATCTCAGTTTGTTAAGCTACTGTAACATACTACAGTAAGGTATAAGTGATTAAAACCTTTAAATGGCCCCTAGAGTTTGACTAAATACCTGGTAACAACATGGGCAGTTGCAGAAAGCACACTTAGAGCTGCCACGTTCTCATCCCTGAGTAATTGCCTTATACACCAGCTCTTTGTTTCTGAGGCCCAGATTAGAGCCTCGGGAGTGTAGAATGTATTACTTTTTAGTGGAGACTGGGGACAGCTGAAAACTCGGGTCTTCAAGTGCCAGGCGTCTACTATAGCATCAGTAAGTATTTAGCAGAAACTAACTCCATAATGAATGGAATTCAATTCCACACATGGTTTGTTCAAGCACACTTAATAAGTAGTCTACTTTTAAATGTCTTTTTAAATGTAAATACTTGGATGAAGCGCTTTTTTTTTTTCTTTCAATATAGTCATTTGCATCATCAACCTTGGTTTCAGAATTCATCTTTTGAACAAGTGGGTTTCAGAATCTGTTAAATGAATTTAAGGATCATGTGTATCAAATGTCACCCAGGCCTTTGAGAATAATGTGTCATAAAGCATGGGTCTCACTCTGTTTGTATAGCTTCATCATTTGAATCATGTTCTATAGTAAGGGACTTGGGGACTGATACACTGTCCACTGAAATGTTGCCTGAGGATTTTGGAAAGGAGAAGTGAGACTTTGTAAAGCCTAAGGGGAAAGAACCAGGTAGAAATGTGAAGTAACAGTAACAAGAGAAAATAGAACTTGATACATCAGGTGGCCAGTTTATCAGCCTAGAACTGCTAGGGAGAGAGGCAAGCGGTACAATATTGAATAATGGTCATGCTCATATTTTGGAGGTATAGTAGATGATGTTACACGCAGGAATATAGAGCATTCGTCTCTTGTAGTGCAAAGGTGTTCGCTCATACTCATACCGTGTGCTTGGTAGTTAGTGCATTTGAGTCATGCCTTTTGTTTGTCTTTAGATGGGGTCTTATGCCCTTGTTCAGGATAGTCTTGAATTCCTACAGTATGGTGTGAAATAATTTTAATTCAGCTCAGAACAATATATATGCTCTCAAAGATGTTGATAGGCTAGACCCTTGGTTTTTCTTTGAGTTCCAAGATTGTATGTTAGCTTAAATTGACTATTTCTAGATACAGTTGAAGTATTTACACAGTGTTGGGTTGCATTTATAGCCATAGAACTAGTCAGTAACCTTGATCTGTATTTCTTTAATAAATCCTCCCTTACTCAGCTTAGTGAAGCGCAACCTCATGGTCAGATTTCTTGTCAGCAGTGTGTGTGTGATGTTAGGTTTCATGGTTATGCTGGTCTGTGTTCCAGAGAAAATGACCTGTACAGAGTACTTCCTAAGAAGGGACAACAGGGCTACAAATTATTGCGGATAGCTAAGCAATAGTTGCTCTGGGGCTTTAATTTTGCTGGTATTTGCATGCTTTTATCTCTTTTTCATTTACACAAAAGCTAGCCTTGTCATTCTCCCTGAAGTGTCCTGGTGGTCTTTTCTAGATGGTAGAATTGTGTAGAACACACACTGAAGCTGGGTGTCCTGCCTTTGTAAGGGTGTGGGAAGGGAGTCTTGTTTGTTGAACATGAATCATGAGATGTGTTCTGTGGGCCCTCTTCTTTAAGACCCTTCACAACAGCTCACTGGGGCAGCCGCATTGTTCTCACTTAGTGTGTGTAAAAAGGGTCATTGAATTTAAGTGACTTGGAGGCTATGTATTAAATAAGGGCTTCCAAGAGATGTCTTTTTTTAAAAACCTCAGTGTTCTTTCCCTGTACTCCAGACAACATGGACATTTTATAAAACCAAGCATTTGGGCAGCTTACAAATACTCATTTTCCAGAATCCAGCAGCTAGAAAGTGGAGATAGCCATGGTGCTGAATATCAGCATGTGTTTGTACCATGTACACATTGAATACACTTGCCACTTAGCTCATAGGCACTGCAGAAATGCCTCATTGCACTTTGCTTGTAGTGTGTGTATATAAAATTGAACTAGTGATTTAATTTTTATAATTTATTTAACCACAATACACCATTTGGCCTTCATTAAATCATATATATGTCTCCCTAGTAAAGAGCTAATGTTCTTTAAAAACATCTGGCAACGTGTGATGGTGAGCACCTGTAATCCCAGTACTGGGGAGGCAGAAGTAGAAGGATCGTGAGAAAGTCCAGCCTGGCCACATAGCAAGACCTTGTTTTAAAAAAATGAAAACAGTGTTTGGATGGTTTGAATTTTTTAGCTGAAATACCCATATATGTGTTAGAGATGTTAATAGCTGCTTGTATTATACTGGCAGGTGGGGGCAGGTCTGGGGTTACAAGACTTCTGATCTACTTTCTATTCAGTTTGGATTTTCTTTGGGCATAATAAGACATTGCAAAGAAAATCCAGGGTACCTGAAGAGCCCAAAGGATAGGTCTTTAGTCTTCAAGACACAGAGGTAATTTGTGCCTATTTTGTTCCTTTCCTTTCCCTTATACAGACTTCTGTAGGTGCCTGTGACAGTTTGTCCTGCTGTCACATCTCCCTCTGCTAGATTAGGAGCCCCAAGACTTGGGTATTGACGGCCTCTAGCTCAGTTAGGTGGGAGCCTGTTACTGCATAAAGGTTAGCCTAGTCTTAGTGAGTTCTAGGCCAGCCAGAACTACATAGCGAGACCCTGTCTCAAGAACAAAGGCAGCATGAACTGGGAACATAGCTCAGTTGACAATGGCCTTGCAAGCATGAGGACTTGGGTTTGAGCTCCTGAAACTATATGAAAATGCCAGGTATGGTGGCATGTGCTGGCCAGCTGTCTCAAAGGTAGAGGACAGCATTCCTAAGGATGACACTCAAGGTTGTCCTCTGGCCTCCATACACCTGCAGTCTGAAGGCATTTTAGACAAGAGGACGAGAAATACTGAAGAATGGTGTGTGTAGAGCACTTGTCTCGTGTGCACAAGACCCTGAGTTCAGTTCTTAGCACCAAGAAATGAA